GTTAAATCTGGCTTTTAAGTTGTTGATGGAGGAGGCTTCAAGTGCTTCTTTCAGTGCATTCCACCTGTACTCTGTACAGGTGGAATGTACTGAATGTACATTGTTTGAATGACAGTGTACACTGTCTGAATGACAGAGTCCGCCTGTAGAGTAGACCACCTGTACTCTGTACATGTGATCTACGAGTATTTGGAATTTTTCAACTCATATTAGTTTCCACCCATGTCCTTTTGTCCTACTTTCTCTGTTTAGACAGACTGTTCTTGGCATTGACCTCAGAGACAACTTTCACCTCACAGACAATTTTTAAGTTTGAGGGTAGGTAGGTAGGGGTAATATCAGTGGTGATGTGGGTGCAGAAGCATGATTGCACATGCATTACATGATTGCTCGATCCATTCTTAAATTCAAGAATGTAATCTAAAAAGGGATGGGCTCCTCATACTGTGCTCAAATATTTTCCAGTACAGTAATTAGAGAATGAAAAGTTTAGTTGTACAGTATTAACATTGTTTTAGCTTTGATTGTAATTCACACACAAAAACAAAAAGCATTAGTTTTTGTCAATTTTATATAAATTCTTCAGTAGGCTGGTGAACAAATGAAAATTATTGAATGGCCCAATTCGTCTCCAGCTAAACATTCAATTGAGAAAACTTTCATTTTGGAGGTATGTTTGTTTTGTACACTTGTATCCCAATTTCAGGGAAATGTAGGACATGTAGAAAGTTACCAAATGTCCTGGGTCTAGTATAACTGCTGGCTATTATACTATTGTCTGAAGATGTTTAATTTCCTTGTGATGATAGATGTGGTGGTTTTTAATGTGTACTTCTATGGCATGCACTTTTGCACTGCATGTTTAAAGTGAGAGGATATCATTGTTTTGCAGGGGAGTGTTAATGTAGGAAATGAGTAGTAGTGGTGAGGTTGACTTGGGGGCTTCCCAAACATTGCCTGGCCTGGGAGATGGGGTCGTGCTGCAGCTCCTGCCCTACATTTGAAGACCTCAGCGCCTCCTACCTACAGTTAAAAAAATCCCACCACTTCTACCACCGGAACCCCTCTCCAAAATATCCTGTTTCTCATTCTGGCTTTTTATCCATTGATCTGAAGGGTGCTCAAGTCTTTCAGCGCCATACCCCAAGGGTTGAGTAACCTTACATCACTGCTCTGGCAGCTTTCATTATGGTGTTAAAATTGCATGCATCATACCATATGGTATCCAGCAACATTCAGCTGTTTAAAGGTATTCAAGTGATGGATAGAAATCATGAACAAGACTGGTTAGCTCCAGAACTTAAGCATTCAGCTAGTTAAACTAATCTAGTTTATATATCTAGTGATAACTATCTTGCCAGAATTTTTCAAAGAAATATATTTATGTTTATCAATGATTGTAAATTTTATTAACTATTGGCATGTAATTTATATAGCATGGCTAAAAAATTATGCTTAATCATTTGAAAGGGTTTTATCAATTATACTATAATGCAATGGGGCCGCATTGGGTATTCAACGTGATCAAAGCATGAGCAAAGAGGTAGAGTTCTCGTGACTATGCTTGAGGTACATTAGACTTTTATAGGAAACTTTTGTTCCAGTTCTTTAGAAAACAATGACACAACTGCTGAGAGATTGTAAGAAAATATAAGCAAAATCTGAAATCAAAAGGAGACCTCGTCAATGATTTTTTCAGCAAAAAAAATATGGGCTTGTTCATTTGGGATACTTATATGGTTGCAATCTATGTATTTGCAATTAATATAGTATATGTTAATTGATTTAACTTTTCTTATCAAAGAAAATTTTTATTTCAATCTCATTGAGATTGTGTTGAGGTGATTATAATTATGATAAAATTTAAGCCAAAACAAATGCAGAAGTAAATGACCAATGTTAAAACATACCATGATGAATAATTGCCATTGAGCTGGTTTTAATGTTAATAGGAAGTACAATAATCAGTCATTTGTCTTGTTTGTCTCTACCTCACTCCAGTCACTGGTATTTTTGTGCACTTTTTCTTGCACCTCTTTTTTAACTTAGTGCAAGTTAGTGTAGTGCTGCACTTGAGTATTTTATCAGATATGAGGAAAGCAATTTGGCATGTGAGTGTAAAGATAATAAGTTTTGCGTAATCTACAGTCGATGGTTCTATGCATAATTCATGCTTGTTTCACTGTTTAATAGTAAATATTTTTGAAGTAAATGTTTAATTCTGCATTCAGCCATATAGATAGATAATTTTCACTCATTTACAAATTAAAATAATGGATATTTGACCAAAAATAGATGCAGTGTTATTTTTTTATTTTTATGAACAAGTCGAGCCTGGCCCCAAACCTGGCTTGGGGAAAACAACTCCCAGAACCCCATCCAGGTACAATCCAGGTAACACTGGCACCTTACACCCAACACTGCTAATCAACCACGTACTGAAGTGTCTTGTACAGTGCTTGAGAATATTTATTTACTTTAATAACATTTTGATATCAAAATTAACGTTTTAAGATTATAAAACTTACAAATGCTTTTTTTTACATCGGTGGTTCTGCACATTTTATGCTTCATTTCAAATTAAATTAATTACACATACAGTAAAAGTACTCTATTTTTTATTGTATTACTGTATAGTAATTTGAATTAATAACTTGTGCACGTTTAAATTTTAAATTGAGAAATTATTACATTAAATCACTGTTTACTTGTAATTTTTTTAAAAAGTCTGTGAACTAGGTGGGGCATGATGCGCACACACTTTTGTTTTGTAATACTGTAATTTTAAAGGTAATTCATTTTACATTTTGATAACCGAAATCATTGTATATTTCAACTTTTAATTGTTGGAAACGTAAGCAGAGTGTGTATAAACATTTGTACTTAATGCTGAGCAAGTAGCCAAAGAATATGGTTCATTTGGTACAACAAAACAGGTCATTTCCTTAACAAATGTTAACAGTACAAGTACAGTACTGTAATTGCTTTTTTGCTTTTATTTGTTTATAAAACTTGGCTGCCTTTTTTTTTAATCAGTCTTGGCTTGACAACATTGTAATTTTTAAATATAAACATTGAAAACTGTATGGTAAACAGCATTTCATCAGTGCATACTGTGTTTTTAATGATGTAGTTTTTTTTTTTGTATAATTGTACAAAATATTATACATTATACTGTATAAGCTTTTTGCCTATTTTGTCAAAAGCTGTAGTAAAGACTTGCTACAAGTGTTCTAATTGTACTTCACTGTTGCTTGGGATTCATTTAATGTGAATTTGGTGACTATTTAATTCAACGTTGTTAAATTATACGGGTCTCGGTTCTTTTACCACAGCTCTTTATTATAGAATTAGAAACTGGCATATTGCATTTTAAATACATCAAATTCATTTATTTACATATACAGTAATTTTACTAAGTATCTTTAAAAACCATTATAATTACAGCATTGGGAAAGTGGTTAAGTTGAAGCATATTATTATGGTATGCACATGCACCCTTTGATTTATGCACCCTTTATTGTTGGGTAATCACTTGACACAGCAGTAATGTAAATCATCATCAAATGTATTTGCCATTTAAAATGTAAATTGAACTAGAGTATTCTTGTTACCGGATGATAAAAGCTTTTAATAGCACCATACTGTGCCTCTTTCAAAGTATGCGTATGTTAACATTGTTAAGTGTTTTAATCCCTTTTGCTGTGATATGCAGCTTCTCTCAAATGACAAGTGATTTATTGATATTTGAAAGTTTTGGTAAATGCATAGAGAAAATAGGTTCAACGTCCAGAAATGTCTTATCCAAGCATCTGGCCTTCAGAAGAGGACTTTAGACTTGGTAGCTGCAGGGTCATTCTATGCCAGATCATCACAGCTTCCTGTCTGGCTATCTCAGATAAACATGAACTCTGAATATACAATATACACTTGTACATATTCAAGGTCAAAGGTCACATGTTAACTTGAAATTAACAAATTCAATATCTAATGTAAAACAATTTTTAATAATACAAAAAAGTTTCCATAGATTCAAAACAAGCACATTATGAAGGTTCTACCTCGATTAGAAGAAAAGTTGTAATTTTTTTTTTTTCGAGCTTGTCGGCAAACATTTTTTTATTTTTCACTGACAATTCTGCTGTATGAATATCATACACCACCGGATACTAAAATTTTTATGGAGAGCATTTTTTCTTAATAGAAATGTAAAAATCTGCAAATCGACTAGAAAATAGTGTAGGGAAAATTGGTTACCAATAGAATATTTTTGCAACCTCAAAAAATTCCTTGGCAAGTTTATTTACTTGTACACTGTGTGCACACACAGTAATCCAGAAGATATGGAGCCTACCCTTATGACAGCCAAATGTCTAAACAAGAACAGATTTGCAATTTTGTGTACCTCGACCTGGAAGCTCACAATGTTTACCCTTGTATTTTCATAGCTTACTTGCTTACTCCTGCTGTTTACCCCTTACATTTTCATAATTTTTCTGCTTACTCGTGCCATTTACCCCATGCATGATGAGCATAAAGTCACATGAATTATCTAAAGATTCAGGTTACCAAAATTCAGATTACTTAGCTCCTATAGTATCTTGTGTTCATGATACTCAATACAGTACATTTGGAACATTTGTAACCTAGTAAAGTTACTTTGACCATATTTCTTATCAGCAAATACTAGTACACTCTACTGGTATCCTAAAATTTTTATTAATTTTTTTACCATAGATTTTTAATGGTTCCACTGGAAGTCTTATTCTCACTTGGATGCAATACAATATTGCAAAAATAAAATAAGTTAGTCCTATTTAGTGTACTCAAGAAAATTATGGAACCAAAATGGAAGTGTTGCAGCAAAAGGGTTAATATACACGAATAAGTGTAGCAAAATAAGTACATACCAGTACGTCCAGTACTGTAATTTTAGTGCTTAGGATGATTTATTTTTATATTGGTTTTATATTAATTTTTTTTACTTTTATTTTTTCCAGAACATGGCTGCAAATGGCTCTGGGCAGGACATTGATGAGTCTTTATACTCACGACAGCTGTATGTTCTGGGTCACGATGCCATGCGACGCATGGCCTCCTCCGATGTCCTTATATCGGGACTAGGGGGACTTGGTGTAGAGGTATGTATTGTATTTACATATTTTCAAATTGTAGTGATAATTAGGTACCCTCTGTAGGAGAGCAGGGAGTCACTTTATGGATTTGTAATTTTTGGTTTGTTTTCATCTTATTTTAAAGTGATTCACTGTGATATCTGGAGTGGTGCTTTGTATGGATTTGAAACATGAAACATTCATGATGCTAAAAGAGGAAGGGTCTTATTAAAAACAGGAAATGTAGCTCCGTGGTGGCTGTTTAAAATGTTTTATCAGAAGAGTTTGAACTTAAGCAATTCCAACGATGAATTAAATTTCTGCACCAAACATTCTAAACATCTTTTAATGCCAGGGCTGTTCTTAGTATACAGTACCGTACGAACTGCAACCACAGGACATTACTTTGCTACTGTTGTAATTTTTCACCATTTTTACCTTCAAATTATTTAAAATAATTGCTTGGTGTTGAGTTGATATACAGTAAGTGTTAGCTTGATACTATAGATTAATATCTGTATTATAAAGTGGAACCTTGACTTACGAATGCCCCTACTTATGAATTGTTCAAGTTACGACCTAATTTCATTGGAAAATTCACGTCAACTTATGACCTTTGCCTCGTCTTGCAACTTTATTGATACGCGTATGGGTCGACGGAGTGCGTGGTTCTTGGTGGTACGGGCGACCCCACTTCAGTTTACCAGACTGCCCGCTTAGTGACGATCGCGCTTGAATTCTGTGTAAAAAATTAGTGATTTTTTTTAACATAAAAGTAATTATTATATATCATGCCATGGGTCCCAAGAAAGTCAGTGGTAAGGTTCAACCTAAGAAAATAGTTGTGAATAGGGGCAGTAGAGGATGTCTCTCCTCATTAAGAAAATGTGTGAAGTGTGGGAAGAACTGCAAGGTTTTGCTGAAAAGACCCACCCAGATAAAGCTGTAGCAGGCCATTGCATTGACCTTATTAATGACAATGTGATGTCTCACTACATACAAATGTTAAAATATAGAGAAAAACAAGTCTCTTTGGAAAGGTTCTAAGTGAGACAAACAAGCAGTAACCACAAGCAGGTCCTAGTGGTATGCCTGCAAAATGTAGGTGTGTGTACCCCTGAGAAGGCGTCCACTGCCTGATGTTATAATGGAAGGGGGTTTCCTTCCAAACAGTAACACTTCTCCTTCCCCCTCTCCTCCTCATCGTCTTCCATAAGCCACCAAGAGTCATCAATAAAGGTAAGCTATAACTAGTACATAACACACACACATTTTGTGCTATAGTATGTATGAAATGTATTTTAAAGTTAATATTTTTGGGAGTGTGGAACAGATTAATTCAATTTACATTATTTCTTATGGGAAAACTTGTTTCAAGTTACGACCCGTCTCTGGGAAGGGATTAAATTCATAAATGGAGGTATCACTGTATACTGTCCTGAAGTGTGGATTTGGACATGTCAGTCGGCATTCTTGAAATTCCAGGGAAAAGAGCCCCTAATGACTTATCTTACAAGATGAAATATGGACTTGAGTAAAGTGGAATAGAGGATGTGGGCATTGACCTATAAGTCTAGGATTATTCTCTTGTGAACTTGCTATTTATGGAATGGGGACACAGGTACACAGTCACACCCAACAATGCCTGAGTGATCAACAGGGAAAATTGGGAAAATAGGTAAATAAATTAAACCAAATTTAACCAAATGAGGGAATGGAAATAGAAGTAGTTTTCAACAACACAGAATTAAGTCTAGGAAAAGGGATGCTTGAGAACAATATAACCAGATAGAATTAAAACAAAAGCTATAAAATTTTTGTACTGCTATTTTAGTGTAACAAACTGACAAGAAGGACAAATAGTGTGTATGTAAGTACTGTATGGGAGTATACTGATAGTCACAGAATGCAGTTACCAACATATCAAGAAATCATAAAATATGCTCAAGAATTTTTAAATAAATTTTTTAGGATACTGTTTGTTCTTCCACTCAAGAATGTGCATATCTTTACTAGATAAATTATGTAAATTGCTCAGATTTTATGCTGCAGGTTTGATATGTTTAGCCGTAATAATGCGTGAAAACATAGTGCTGCTCACTGGTTTCTCTGTGCACACAACACTTCTTGGGATGCCACTCTTGACTTCTTTTTTAGTTCATTACTTGCTACTTTATTACTTCCCAAAATCATCACTGAATACATCCTTAGCTTTACTGCTTATAAAAGTTATCACCAACAAGTTGCCTTCAATTGGAGCTGATATGGAGCTGAAAAGGTGCATGCATCTTTTAAAATTTTATCAATTCTGAATATAAAAAAAAGAAAAGTAATGGGATTCATGCAAAAGATTAATAATTGTTGATCTGTTCAATGCAAAATTATCACACATTAAAAAAAAGAAATAAAAGCATTGGTGCATTCACTCACATTGGTGTGCGAATGAGGGACTGCACGTGCTGCCCCATAAATCAAAACAGTTGGTCATGGACTTATATTGTCATGTGGGAGGAAGCATTTGTGTGGCACCCAGTATAGTTACTGGATCAGCTAGGTCCAACTTCCACTCGGTCACTGATTTACTGACAATATTTCTTGGATGGTGGCAGTGATACCTCATGGTCACTAACTCTTACCACTTTATTGCACATTTTATCCCAGCATTCTTGCCACAATTTGTACAATCCCAAAAAAGGAGAAACTGGCTTAACCAAATAACTGGTGTCAGAAAAGTATATGGTTGTATATATGTATAATTTTCTTCCCCACATAGGAAGGTATGCTTTGTATATTCTACCAGCAATATTTTTCACAACCTCTCCTATCATGTAAATCACCTATATCAATCTGCTTGTTTGCTTACTTTCATAATCTTTTATGTTATGTTGTATGTTTATGAGAGTGTAAAAGTGTTAATAATTTTGTTACTTACAGATTGCCAAGAATGTAATTTTGGGAGGTGTAAAGTCTGTAACTCTGCATGACGTTAAAGAAGCAAGTGGCACTGACCTGAGTACCCAGTTTTTCCTAACTGCTGCTGATATTGGTACCAACCGAGCCACAGCTTGTCAACAGAGACTGTCTGAACTAAACACCTACGTTCCCATCACGGTATCCACTAGTTCCCTTACAGATGATGTGCTCAAGAACTACAGTGTTGTTGTTCTTACAGGTAAGCTCAATTTAATTCTTTGAAATTGTTGTAGTCATGGTCTAATGGCAGAGATGTACATTATTCGTTGTTGTGCGGTATTACACATTTTCATATGACTTAATTAGGTATCCCTGGTCACGATCCCATAGGACACAATGAGACCTACTCATGGAAGGAAAACAATATGTAAAAGATCTCTGAATTATGATGTCTGATGACCTGACATTTAGTGAACATAACCGAGCAAATATAGTGGCGGCCAAGAAAATGATAGGATGGATTATAAGAATGTTCAAATCCAGGGACCCTACAGCAATGCTAACACTATTTAAATCACTGGTGTTGTCCTGTCTTGAGTATTGCTCGGTACTTACTTTCCCTTTCAGAGCAGGAGAGATCTCTGAATTAAAGGGAATACAGAGAACATATACGGGACGCATAGAAATGATAAAACATCTGAATTTTTGGGTCCGTCTCAAAGTTCTTAAAATGTACTCTCTGGAAAGGAGATGAGAAAAATATAAAATAATATATACATGGAAGATACTGGAGGGTCAGGTCACAAATTTGCACAGTAGAATAACAACAAACTGGAGCAAAATATACGGAAGGAAATGCAGAATTGAGATGTGTAGGTTGCCAAAGGCACAATCAGAGCATTGTCTTATCAGGGGTCCACGGCTGTTCAACACCCTCCCAGCAAGCATTAGAAATACAGTATTGCCGGAATGATGGTGGATGTATTCGAGAGACAATTTAATGGGTTCTTGCAAGAAGTGCCGGACCAACCGGGATGTAGTGAATACATGGGCCTGCAGGCTGCTCCAAGCAACAGTCTGTTGGACCAAGTTATCACAAATCGAGCTTGGCCTCAGGCCGGGCTCGGGGAGTAGAAGAACTCCCAGAACACACTCCAGGTATGGTATGGAGACCTTAGGGTCTTGAGTATACAGTATTTTTGTCATTCCAAAAGAAGTGGTCTATGTTTGGGTGGTCCATGTTCATCATTCATCAATCTTGATGAAACTTGGTGTGGACATTCATACATGTGTCAAATAATTAGCAAATAAATTAATTTGTAATTAGCAAAAGACAGTACTAAACCTGGAAAGATAGTTAGCTCAAAGGTATATTTCAACAGCTGTTCATATCTTACTATACTCAAAAGTCACTAGTAAAATATTAAAATTACCCTGCCTTATTTTAGGAACTTTTTTTTCTGAACCTATTGATTGGTATTGTAGTTACACTTGATTTAATTACCTTATTTGCTGGCGTAAAAGATACACGCTCACATAAGACGCACTCCTATTATACACGGATTTTTTGTGGAAAAAACTATTTTAATGTTTCATCATAAATTTATTGAAAGATATTTTTAAGTGATTTTTTTACCCCCCAACTCTTACCTCCTCTAAGATCAGCTGTATAGTTGTTTATATTTTGGGCAAGAGAATTGCTATACAGGATGTGATGATTTGCGTTACCGAGACCGGCCACCAGGGCGGTGCACCATCGCAGCACTATGGTTTTGTTGTCATTCACTCATTGCAAATGGCTGACAGGCAGATAAAAGTTTAACATTACTTTCAAATTTCTAGGAGCATTTTTTTATTTAGATAATAAATGTTTCTTAAAGGTAACACAGTCGTTAAATAATATATGACATCGGGTGTGGGTTATGTATGCTGGGTAAGGTGGTGAGATGATGTGAGCTTCCCTCATAACTGCCGACGTACTGTAAGCAATTTCTCATAAGTTTGTGATAACTTGGCTTATTTTTAATATTTTATTATTAGCGACGATTTTTGTGCCTAGCAAACTTACCCAGTATGCACGTCCTGCTCCCTAGCCTATGGTGCACGGGCTTCCCCTCTGTAATACTGCCACATTAGATGCAGGACAATTTTTTTTATACATTTAGAAATAAAAAAACATATACGACAGCAAATACTGTACACATTTCATTGATTTTGTAACAAATTGACTGAAATATTTTGAGGACTGTAAATGTATTTTTCAGATTCCACATTGGAGGAGCAGTTGCATGTATCCACATTTTGTCATGCCAATGACATTGCTCTTATCGTTGCCTCAACGAAGGGTTTGTTTGGTCAGATTTTCTGTGATTTTGGTGAAAACTTTGAAGTGGTAGACAAAAATGGTGAGAATCCAGTTACTGCAATGGTTGCAGGCATAACGAAAGAGGTAAGTCTTCTAATATTTACTTGCTTAATTGTCCATTAAAGCATTTCTACTCCTAAATCATACAATACAGTACATTGAATGAGAATGTTTTGATTCAAGCTGAAATTAACCTCATTATTTAATATGCACTTTTGGGATAAAGTGGTATTTTGAAATTGATGGGATAAGGAAAATGACAAAAATAGGTAAGGGTTAGCAGAGAAAATTTAAGATAAATCCATGCATTGGTTTGGCATGTGGAGATAGAGAGAGATGGAGGAGGTGGATGACAAGATTAAACGTGAATTTGTTAGTGAAGGACAGTATCCTTTTGGAAAGAAGCAGTGTGTTTGGAGATATTCTGTTATGGCATTAAGTAAAGGCTAGAAGGATAAGTTTCAGTGGATATACTTAGGTTTATGATAAGCCAGTGTGAAAATATAGTTTTTACCATGTGTTTACATTTGTTTAAATAAAGCGGTTGAAATTTAGATAATTTCTTAATGGTATATAAGAAAATAAAGCCCATCCTTTTGATAAGACAGTATACGTCTTGTTACTGTATGGGTGACTGTACAAATATTATCGGGATGGACAAATAGAAAGTAAAATTTTATACCATTCATTTGAAATAGTTTGGAAAACTAAAGCTAAAAACCAAATTTAAATATGCCTAGGCCTAGTATAGCACATATATGTACTATATTAGTCCTCAGGTAGCATGAAATAGTTTGGAAAACTAAAGCTAAAAACCAAATTTAAATATGCCTAGGCCTAGTATAGCACATATATGTACTATATTAGTCCTCAGGTAGCATGTATGGTTAGGATGATAGGACCACCTAGGATGGGTTTTATTAGCAAGATAAATAGAAAAACTTGGTCCAAAATCAATAATATAAACGTCTATTTTCTATTGATCCATCATATCCATATTTGTATGATCAACCACATCGTTACTATAAGTACTTTATTTTAGGAGGATCTACTGTGAAAATAGTATTTACATGTGAAAAAACCTAACCCCTCTTACCTGTGTTTAGGAAAATAGCGTCGTCACTTGCTTGGATGAATCTCGACATGGACTTGAAGATGGAGATTATGTAACTTTTTCTGAAGTGCAAGGAATGACAGAACTTAATGGTTGCAAGCCTCTCAAGATAAAAGTAAGTGTATTCAGTGATTTCAGTTGTCAGTGGTTAAATAATATATCTTTGAACACATTATCAGTGGTTAAATAATATATCTTTGAACACATTATCAGTGGTTAAATAATATATCTTTGAACCCAAATTGTGAGAAATTTGTGACAATCCTGTGAAAGTTGGCAGCAGTGATGAAAATCTGTTTACTTTTAACTTTTAAAATGTCCTCAGGTATTGGGACCCTTCACCTTCAGCATTGGTGACACCACCAAGTACTCTGATTACATTCGGGGAGGCATTGTTACCCAAATGAAGATGCCTCAGAAAGTGAACTTCAAGCCAATGGAAAAATCTATGGAAGCACCAGAATTTGTGATAACTGATTTTGCTAAATTTGACAGACCTGGGATACTTCACATTGCTTTCCAGACCCTGCATGCATATGTAAAGAAAAATGGGGTAGCACCTAAACCATGGAGTGATGATGATGCAATTGCTTTCCTGAATCAATTCAAGGACATCAATGCTGCCAGCTCTGCCAAGGTAGAGGATTTAGATGAAGATTTGATCAAACAATTTGCAAAGATTTCTGCTGGTGGCTTTGCTCCCATTGATGCTGTAATTGGTGGCATAGTGGCGCAGGAAGTGATGAAGGCATGCTCCGGCAAATTTAATCCTATTAAACAATGGCTTTATTTTGATGCTCTCGAATGCCTTCCTGAAGACTTATCTGTCCTTACTGAAACAGAGTGCTCCCAAACAGGTAGTAGATATGATACTCAAATTGCCATCTTTGGGCAGGAGTTTCAGAAGAAGTTAGGCAGCCAAAAGTACTTTGTGGTTGGTGCTGGTGCCATTGGATGTGAATTGTTAAAAAACTATGCTATGTTGGGACTTGGTGCTGGTGAAGGAGGTCAGGTTGTAGTCACAGACATGGATCTTATTGAGAAAAGTAATCTGAACAGGCAATTCCTCTTCCGTCCATGGGATGTTCAGAAACCAAAGTCAGACACTGCTGCAGCAGCAATAAAGAAAATGAATCCAGGGGTTAACATTATTGCCCATCAGAATAGAGTTGGTCCAGAAACTGAAAGTGTGTATGATGACAGTTTCTTTGAGCCCCTAAATGGTGTTACAAATGCTCTGGATAATGTGGAAGCTAGATTGTACATGGACAGACGCTGTGTATACTACCGAAAGCCTCTTTTAGAGTCTGGCACCTTGGGAACTAAAGGCAATGTTCAAGTTGTGGTACCACATTTAACAGAGTCGTATGGATCATCACAAGACCCTCCAGAGAAATCCATTCCTATTTGCACACTAAAGAACTTCCCGAATGCCATTGAACACACACTTCAGTGGGCACGTGACATGTTTGAAGGAGAGTTTCGGCAAGCTGCTGAAAATGCAGCTCAGTACCTTCAAGATCCTAGGTTTATGGAAAGAGCACTGAAGTTGCCTGGTTCCCAGCCCATGGAGACCCTGGACAGTGTTAAGCGTGCGCTTGTAGATGATCGACCACAGTCATTTGAGGATTGTGTACTCTGGGCCCGCAAACACTTCGCTGAACAATTTCATAATCAGATAGTACAACTTCTTCATAACTTCCCGAAAGAGCAAACCACTTCAAGTGGGGAACCATTCTGGTCTGGTCCAAAGAGGTGCCCTCATGCTCTCGATTTTGACGTTAATAATGAATTGAATCTCGACTATATTGTTGCAGCTGCTAACTTGAAAGCAGAGGTCTATGGCTTGACTCAAATACATGATCGTCAAGTTATTTCTGATATTGTTAGTAAAATTAATATCCCAAAGTTTGTTCCTAGATCAGGAGTTAAGATTGCTGTCACTGATGCAGAAGCAGAAGCTCAAAGTAATCAAATAGACAGTGAGCGAATTTCAAATCTTCAAGCAGCTATCCCACCAGCCAACAGTTTTGGTACTCTTAAGCTCACTCCACTTGATTTTGAAAAAGACGACGATACTAACTTCCACATGGATTTCATTGTTGCTGCATCTAACTTGCGTGCAGAAAATTATGATATTGCCCCTGCTGATCGTCACAAGAGCAAGCTGATTGCAGGCAAGATTATTCCTGCCATTGCCACAACTACAGCACTAATATCTGGTCTTGTGAGTTTGGAGCTCATCAAATTGGTTCAGGGGCACAATGAACTTCGTTATTTCAAGAATGGTTTTGTTAATTTAGCTCTGCCATTCCTTGGCTTCTCCGAACCTATCCCTGCCCCAACTAATAAGGTAAGTCAAGCTGTCTGTTTGTTTATTTAGTGATACCAATTATTCTTAGGGTTTGGATAATTTTTGTTTGATTAATATGCTAATTTTAACGTTTCCCTCATGGGGCGAGCGATCTTCCAGACCACCCCAAGGTGCGCTGCACATTCCGTAGGAGCGTGCGGTTTTGCATCTTGGTTTTCACTCTTTTCAATTTTGTCACGTCATTTCTCGCTCTACGTCTTTCATTTTGGTATCAATGTGTTCGCAATAAAATTCCGTACTGAAGTATATGCATATAAAATCCAAAAGTGAAAGCGCTGCATACCACCCGCAGCAAACAGAGAAAGTGACACCGTGAGCGCTCGAGCAATAAAATGTGTATACTCTTTTCAACTTTGTTACCTTAATTCTTATCCTAGGTCTTTCATTTTGGTATCAATGTGTTTGCAATAAAATCACCTATAGGAGTATATGCATATAAAGTCCAAAACCAAGCCAAAAGCTGGCCAAATTTTTACATTTTTGACGCCATACTGCATCATTACTGAACATTCGTCTACTAAATTTTTGACACCATACTGTGTCGTTAACGAGCGAAAGTGTTCCAGTTGATATAAAAATTTATAATACTTAGGCTACAAAATTGAAACTCAACTACTTAAGGATATTGTGAACATCAGTTCATAACCATGTCTGGGTGATTGGTGAGTTTAAATCAGTTTGCGCTCAAGAAAATGAACATAGTAAAATTTCTACTCAAATGGCTTTTAAGGGTACAATGATTAATAATGCTTATTTAATCGCTGGAGTAACTGCTATTGTAGTTATTATTTAAAGCCATAATTAGATGTGATAGTTGTTGTACAGTAATATTCTTCTATTATGTCTTGGTAAATTTTTTCCTTTACTTCACAGTACTACGACAAAGAATGGACTCTATGGGACAGGTTTGAAGTTGATGGTGAAATGACTCTTGAAGAGTTTATCAGATACTTTGAGGATAAGCATCAGCTCGAGATTACTATGTTGAGCCAGGGTGTGTCCATGCTCTACTCCTTCTTCATGCCACCTGCCAAGAGGAACGAGAGAATGGCTCTCCCGTAAGTTTTTCATTGAATATTAATGAGATTAGGGTTTATGAAAATTTTATTGGTGTGAAAGAAAACTTGTCAGTACTATTTTTACTCATTCACTATTAAGTTGCTTATGTTTTCTACCTGGTGCATTTATACCTTATCTTTCAAATACTGCTTGTACTGTGTTTCCAGTTTCCAGCTGTGGCCTTTTGTTCCATTGTCCCACACCTGGAAACATCTATTCACTGTGTTGCCCTCTGTACCTTACCTTATCTTCCAGTTTCCTTGCACTGTTTTCTGGGGTCAGCGTTCCCACGGCCTGGTCTCTGACCATGTACGTTGTGGATCAGTTCGCCTCTTGTCTGTTTTCTCCAATGTCACTGGTTTTATTTCATTTGGCCTATCCTAATGCTCATTTTCTTATCTCTAATTCTAGTCTTGTAATGCTTTTTAGACTTTTTCAATATTCTTGATTTATCAGGTTTTGATTTCAAGCTGGAGCCATATTCTCTAGGACTGGTTTAACAAGTATACAAACCTCATTATTGAGCTTTCCTCTTTCATGTGGCAGGTAGGCTTCAGCCAGGAAAAAAAATGCAAAATATAGTAAAAGGTTAGAAGCTTTAAATAACATTGAATTCCTTTGGATTGCCCAGATTGGGTTTAATGGAATTTGAATTACAGAACTCTTACGGTATTTCCTATCCTTTGGTAGTGAATACCTGTGGTGGTCATGATGTGGGCATTAAACATTGTAGCCACATTGTGTTGACTTATAATTTTTTTATATGATGCTTGGTATTTGTCTTGCTCTTTTAATTTTTTTTGCTTGTGTTATTTTGATAGACTGTGATTAATTTATGTATTTGCATAATAAAATCTTGACACATTGGAAATACAAGTATAGAAATATTGTAATAACACTGTAGAGTTGAAACAAATTAGAAGTTATTTTTAGTAAATACAATTTTTCCCCCCTCACTTTATGGAATTGGGAGTCACTGGCATGGAAAGGGTGGAAAAATATTAATGGGGGCCATCTTTAGAGATAGGAAACTTCATGAGATCTTCCAAACTGCATAATCTGTGCATCAGTATATAGGCTATTATAATAGTACTATCTTTTTGCATACACTGCTCTGCTGTGCCTAATCAGTACTTTTTATCCCCAGGATGTCAGAAGTGGTCAAGAAAGTAAGCAAGAAGAAAATAGAGCCTCACGTGCGAGCTCTAGTGTTGGAACTATGTGCAAATGATAAAGATGGAGAAGATGTTGAAGTTCCATATGTGAAGTACAATTTGCCCCAATAATCCTGTGCTCTTGGTGTAATATCCAAGTTATTTTATTTGTGCCCAAAGAGAATTCCAACCAAAGCTCATGACTTAAACAGCCTTAGAAATGTCAGCTGTTGTTGGCTTTTTATATGGGTTTAATACTGGGAGTGCGTGTGTTATCTCCCTTTAACAGGGCTAGTGTTTTCAGGTTAAAAAATTTACTCCTATCTTGGATACCTCTTGACAAAATGCACATTACAAAGAAAATTTGAACAATGAAAGTCTTCAATAAACAATGAAGACAGTACTGAAAATTCATTACAAATGAAATTTCTATGAAATTTCTTTGCAATAGAAGTTTCTGTGATCATAAAAAAAATGGAGTGATTCTGGTGTATATTTAACAGTTGCCACTGTAGTAAGATTAGAAAAGTGTGAGCACTTAACTAATTTATGGAAATGAAAAGGTTAATAAATATCATTGTGCTAATGAAAGAGTCTCAAACACCTGTAAAAGTGAAAACTAATTTTACCAATTTTTTTTTAAACAAGTTACTTTATAACTTTTGTTTCCCCTGGTGTTTTAAGTGTTTATATTTGTACATAATTCCTTTGGTGGCTATATATATATATAGAATCCTAATGGGTTTATGCTGCATATGCCAACAGATTGAATTTTTAAAAGAGATTAGAAATTCATATAAACAAAATTGAAGCATCTTTGTTTGGATTGAATGAGATAATGCACTAAATGATCAAATTTTGAATTTAAATATATTTGCTGGCATAGAATTATATATATATTATATTCGAATTCAACTAGGTAATGCATTATCAGTCACAAAGCTGTAACATTAGCATTGGCTGGCCTTGTGTAAATTTATTACACTTATCAGGTCATTTATTTTATGTGGAGGACCAGTTTATCAGTATGTTGTCTTAGTAAAGTGGGTGCGAGAACAAGTGGTACGAAAAAACAAATTCTAATATGTTGGCTTTTTAGAGTGAGTATCAAAGCAAAATTAGTTTGGTTGTGTTGATTGAAAGACTGAAAATTATTTTTTAAGGCTACGATAGTTACTTCTTAACTTGTATGAGAAGAAGAGGTACTTGACAAAACTTTGTAATTCGGTCTGAGGAACCAAATTGATTGACCATGTCATTATTTTGCAAAATTCATAAAGCGAGTGTTGCTTAATTTTTGTAAGTTCATCTTCGCTTGACACCAGTGATCACACCAGTAAACTGTGATTCTGCAAGCGCTTGTTTTAATTTTTGTATTCCTTCTAGGGTAAAGTGGAGATCTTTGGCCTCCAAAAGTAAGCTGTGTTCAAATTGGATATACTGTACAATTTAATAATTTTTCTGAAAAACCAATGGTTTGAATGGAGAGACAATGAGCTACATACAAACATTATGTACTAATCTTGTCTTAACATATTTCTACAAGGAAAAATGTGTATATTAACTCATGAAGAGTGGTTAGCACCGTACCTGAGTTTTGCTTGCTTGGTAATTATCTTGAGTTCATTCTGAGGATCATCCAAGCTGTTAGGTGCAACTGCTCCTACCCAGGTACAGTATATGAATCATTTAGACAATCCAACAAATATTTAACCTTTTTGAAGTCGTCATTCCTAATTGATACAATATAATTATTTGCTTTCAATCAAGTCCTATATTCAAGGAAGTGTGTGTGAGGTGCTTTATGTTGTAAAACTGACCTACAGCTAGGAGTCGAGGTGGATAGACAAATTCATCCCATCTTTTGTCCAATAATGTTTCTTGTATGGCAGAAAGTATCTTTCACAAATAATTATTAAAAGATGCCGAGCTGGGAAGATTATGTAGCACTATCTTTATCACAGGATATCCAAAACGACGTTGAAGGATATATGACTCGCCAAGGATTCAAAGGACTGTCTTTATCTTTTGTAATCTCGGATTTTCTGAATTGGTTTACTAATTTCTCTTATTCAGGAGGATAAAAGTTTAGCAGCAGTACTAGAGTCTCAATGAAGCAGATAAGAGGAAGGTGGGGGATTACTGTCAAAAGCAAAAAGTTTGAGAAGCTGTAATGAGGCAGAGAAATTTGGCATATAGCTTGAGCAATTTTGAGTTGGGGGAAGTGTGACGTTTGCTGCGGACAGTTTTCGAGCTGGAATTTAATCCTTTTAAGTGCAGTTATAGGCATACATCGATTCGTGGGGGGAGGAGGGGTAATGTGGTTATCATGGGTTGATTTTAATTATTATTATTTGGGTTTTACACTGACAGATGGGCATAATAGTGCTGTACAGATGTAGAGTGTGACAAAAAAATCCTATCATTTAATAATTACCTTACTATGCAAATGTTCTCTCCATCACACATATTACACCAATGCAGTCACCATTGTATAAAATTCCATTATAATTACATATGTATTCTGATTATGCTCTTGTGGTTGTAATGAAGTATACCAGATCAATCATCATTTGAACATCATAAAGGAACTACAAGACTGCTTATTGGCCCTATACAAGGTAGCTCCTATTTATATTGATATAAATGGGAGCACCCTCATGTGGTTCAATAAGCCTATATGAGGCAGCTCCTATTTATATAAATGATGTAGACAGGAGCAGCCATATTATATTATATATATATGTTACCTAAATGATTTTACACTTAGGTAACTACCCACGCCTTAAATATGCTAAAGCTAGAAGATAGGTGAAAAGGTGGTGATATGATTACCACTTACAAGAAACAAACAGGAATCTACCAAATTGACAGGAATTCGTGAAGCCAGCAACTTCGAGAACAAGAGGACACAGATTCAAGCTAAGGAAACAAAGGTGTCAAAAAAAAAAAAAAAAAAAAAAAAAAATATTCCCTCGCCTACCCATCACCCCTTCAACATCACCTCATTCCCCAACACCCTCCCTTCCCAATATTCTGAATTTTGTTACATTGTAACAAATGTAACAACTCAACCCAACGTATTTTGATGCAATTTTATGGGATACTGTACTCTTGAAAAAGCTAAGCTACTTTGAGATTCATACCTGATATTGTGGCTGGTAATGATGACAAAGCCGATTATTTTGAGAAGTTCGAAACAGATACAAGTGAAAAAAAATTAAGAACTGCTTGAATATGTGAACAGAATAGTCTAGAAAAGAGGCAGAAAGTGATAAGACATGTATCAACATATTTTGATGGTCACTTACAATATTGCACTGGTATTGGCTACCACGTAAGTACTGTAGTGTATTTTTCCCTTTCATGAATTCAGTATCGTATATATTTGTACATCAAGCCAACAAAGCTATTAAAAATAATGCAAGATGGAATTATAATATTATATATATATAAATTATATATATATAATTATTATAAATGCCAGCTTCTCTAATCTTGATCCTTTGCATCATTTGGACTGGAGAGGGGACCCTTACGGTATTCCCAACTGTGCTTATATGTGGAAATAGATGTTACAAGATTATACTACAACTGGTACCAACTTCAATACTTCATGCAGACCCCTGCAAATTTCACAGCCACTCTAGTACCAAAATGTCCCCATTGAAGGCCCTGCTCACACCCCAACCTGTCCTCAAAGGCTAATGGTGTTTCCATGCACCCTCCAAACCCTCTGTTTATGAATGAAAAACTGTTTACACACTGCTTCCACCAACCTGTCCTTGGACCAAGTCAATTCCATCCAGCGAGCAACCCCAAAGACGCATTCATAAATTTTAACATGCTGTTCATTCAAAACAGGAATTTTCTCAAATAAAAATTAATATTACTGGTATTTTATATTACCGTATTGTACATATTTAGGTACTGGTTAGGTTAGATAAGGTGTCTTAGGTTCAGTTGGCAATTATTTGTAGTATGTGAGTGAAGCCTTTACAGCGTTGTGATTCGAACAAAATTCGTCAATGAAGCACTTGTTCCAGAAGTGTTCGGACATCATCAGTTGTTAGTTATGTGTAAACAGTGTTTCATTCATAAATGGGGTTTGGCAGGTGCATGGGCTGGATTTTGGGTATTTGTTTAGAGGACAGGCTAACTTCTACTGATGACGTTTGAATACTTCTTGAACAGTGCTCTGCTGATGACTTTTGTTCAAACCAACTCTGTAAATGCTTCACCCATGTACTACAAACACATAATAGCCAGCAAAACCTAAATGCCTAACCTAACCAATGCCTAAATATATCAATTTATATTTGAGAAATTACTATTTTGAATGAAAGCATTTTAAGATTTATGAATGTGTCTTTGGGGTTGACAGCCAGATATAATGACCATAGCTGGATGGGCTGACATGCCTGTTTAATTATTTTATTGCAAGGATTACTCTGTTTAAGATTTCTCTACATGTCATTGCAATGTGCCCTAAAATATTGTCTACTTAACTCCTGTGGAGCGTTTTGCTTGTTAAATGTTGTCAAGTCTTAACCTGCAAGTGAAGGCTCTCCCTCAATTCTTGAAATACCTTTTCCTTGAACATATTTTACCACCACTCACATGCTGCCTTCACCCAGACTAGTACTTTTACTATGGAACTTTATTATATATGCCCCAAGACAATTACATTTCATGTGCCAACAATTTTTTAGTTTCCTCATATTGACATACTGAATATCTAGGAATTTTTTTTTAGAACTCTGTGACAGATGTAGCTTTTAAGCATGGCGGTTTTTTTCATAATTACTTGGCCAATATTACACGATGTAATAGAGCAATCGATACTAGTTTAACATAACATATTTGGGAAATTTAGATACAGTATTAACATGATTAATATTAGTATTCAACATCAAATGCATCAGCACATTGAAAAGTGGTTGTAGATTTGAGAAATCTGTAAACAACAAATAACACACACTAACATGTACAGTATGTAAAATAGATTTAAATAATATAGTATGCCAGTGAACATAATGTTCAGACACTTAGGTCAGAGCACTAGCCATGAACAAGAAACTAAACAATCTTGGTGTTTAAAATACTTTACTACAATAGCTTTATAATGACATTCAAATCTGATTACTTTCATCATCCTTGTGAAGATGACATCTTGCCAATTAGAAAATGGCATACAATATACTAGCTAAATGATTTACAGTACCTGTCAAAAGTACACCTTGGTGGGGTTCTGGGAGTTCTACTCCCCAAGCCAGGCTTGACTGTTAAGTATGCGCACCCCTGTTCAAGGTGGCGCATATGTATGTCAAAAAAAATTATGATGGTCTTGTGGGTGAAGGACTGTAAACAAGAATGCATTAGGTACATATGTCACCACAGTGTGCACTACCTCCCTGGGCCACACAGCTGGGATATCAAGTTGCCTCCGAGCATCCGTAGTGAGCAATTGCATTGAGCGTCTCGCTCTAGTACTATGCAGTGTTTTATTGCAGTTAACAGTGGTATTAGTGGTATGACATTTCTTTTGTAGGTACCATAAGAACAAAGAAACCATTGCTCTAAAAGGAAGCAGGTCACCAAAGGGGAATAAGTTAATTGTTGGGTGTAGCTAAGTTGACATGAAGTATTGTGTGTGCTTCCAAGGAAGAAATGCTGGTGGCACTCCATTACAGAAACATTGGTCTGCATATCCCATGAAGATGTCTTCAAGGTTTTTGAACATTCTAAAATGTTCATTGAAGAGTACCCTTGATGTTACAGCAAGGGCAGACTTTGAAGTCTTCCTGGGATGACCAGACCAATGTTTCTGTGATGGTGTGTAACCACGGTTTCCCCTTCAGAAGTACTGTATGTTCAACACTTCTTCATATCAACTTGGCTACACACACCTATTAACTTTTTGCCTTACTTTGGTGGCCTGCTTCCGTTACAGCAATGGTTTTTTATTTCTTTGGTAGGTGCCACAATACAGTAACAATGTCATACCACATGAACCATTAATTAATAAGTACAAAAAACACTGGATGGCCACAAAGCAAAATGCAGCACATAACGGCTCACGATGACAGCCAGGAGGTCACTGGCTCTGGTGTTGTGGTCACTCCAGAGAGCTAACTCCTGCTGTGACGTCATGTAGCCATTGCATACTTCTGTCTACAATCTTTCATTCATAAAACCATTTTTTTTTTGTGCCATAAATATGTAAGGCCTTGAAAGAGGGATGCATACTTTTCACGAGTACTGTAACTGCATGCAAAACTTTGATGTTACATCAAATAAACGTTTGCATAGGTGATTCTAGATAAATATTTTGGTCAACTTTGATGTGCTGCTAAATGTTTATCTGCAAAACTTCTTATTTTAACAAAGTTTACACAAAATATAAACTTTTAATTTCAGACAAGCCATTGTTTAATTCTGACCTTAGAGTATGATAATGTACAATTGTCAATAAACTATAGTATGTACAAATTTTAAGAAATAAAGTTAGTATTATAAAATGTTTAAACTTTTTTAAGGAGACACAAGATGTGCAATACATATACACAACAAAAACACTTACTTGAAACCTTTGGAATGGCAAGACTTGCACAATTTTCACAAAAATTCTTTCTGACAGTATCACCAGCATTTCTGTAAATCTTGTATTAATCAGCATTCAAAATGAGCATGAACATTTTCAAAGTTTGAAAATAAATGTTTTCAGGAACCACTAGTTATTACAGTATTGGCATTTCTTATTACACATCATACAATAATCAGCATAATTAACCAAAAATAATAATTTACCCTTACAATACTTTTTATAGCAATACGTAAGTGACTGTTGTAGGCAGCTGTGAAGAGTAAACATGGCTGACGGTAGCGCTACAGCAAGCGTTCAGATCTGTGGGGTGAAAAAAAGTTTTATATCTTTCAAATACAGTATTTACTGTACATAAATAAATATTCACTATAATTTCTGAAATCGAATACAGATAAGGTAGAAGTTTGAAGTCGCCCAAAATCTGTTCTTCAGAGATGAAGTTTGTGGCAAGATCAGGTCCAGCATACAATAAACTGAGAACACCTGGCCTACATTAGTATTAAATATCATCTATCAGTTTCCCAGGAAGTACAGGACAAGATTAAGTAAGGTAAGGGCCTTAGAGCATCAGGTGAGACACATGGGATGACCAATAAGACTAGTGTCAAAAATCAACCCCAAACGTTTAGTAGAATCTTTATACAGAGGATTACCATAGAGCGACAATGGAGGATGACGAAGAACAACCTGCTTCCAAGTAAAAGTCAGCACAAGTTTTAGTTGTAAAGGAACTGAAGCGATGGTTAGTGCTCAGGATGATACGGTACCAATTTCAAGTTCTGTCACTGTTATAGCAGAGTGAGATAGTCAACATAAAGGGCTTAAGAAAATGCCAATGGGAAGGGAGAAAGGAAGACCATTTAGACCAAACAGGAAAAGAGTAGTACTCAGAACACAACCTTTGGGAACATGTTCATACTGTTGTAAAAAGAGTCTCGCTTTAAATGAGTGATGAGAGAAGATGCTTTGAAGAGCAGATTGCCACGAAGGGCAAAATAACATAGTTTGGATAAAATATTGTATCTCCAGGTGGTGAAATTGCTGACCTAGAGAGCATGCAGAGATCCTTTACTGCTAGAATCCACTCAGTAAAATATCTAAACTACTGGGACCGACTAAAGAGCCTAAATCTGCATTCCCTGGAGCACAGGGGGGAGAGAGACATAATTTACATGTGGAAAATAGAGGCGCTAGTCCCAAACCTGCACACACAAATAACATCACATGAGACTAGAAGGCATGGCAGGATGTGCAGAATACCCCTGTTGAAAAGCAGACGTGCAACAGGTACTCTGAGAGAGAACTCTATCAACATCAGAGGCCCGAGACTGTTCAACACGCTTCCACTGCACATAAGGGGCATAACTGGCCGACCCCTCACAGCGTTCAAGGGAGAACTGGATAAGCACCTCCAAAGGATATCTGATCAACCAAGCTGTGAGCAGCCGTGACCAACAGCTTGGTTGACCAGTTCAGCAACCAGGAGGCTTGGTTGACGACCGGGCTGCGGGAATGCTAAGCCCTGGAAGCACTGCAAGGTGACCTCAAGGCAGGTGTCAAGCCTTTTCCAAGTAAAAAAAAAGTGGCAGCAATGTAGGTCTTTGCAGCAAAGGCAGTATGAATGTAGACCTCAAAGTCCTCTAAGATATCAGTTATGTTGCAACACCTGCAAAAGCAATATTGAGAGTAGGAGAGGTTGTGACAGTGTACTAAGAACCATATTAGATGTACATTGATCAAATGTTCAAAAAGATTGCAGACACAATCTGTCAGGTCAATGGGGAAAAATCCTTAGTGGAAGTCCCTAAGTACCAGTTCTTGTTTCTAAACAAGAACAACCGCCTCAAACAGGTCCTCTAGGACTGACGATGCCTGCCAAATACCATTATAGATACTGTATTCAGTAAAGACTAAAATGCGCATACCTTCCAAAGAATACCTGATGGTTGTCTGGTTGACCAGATGACCAACCAGGATGCTTTGTCAAGAGACCAGGCCACGAGGCCATTGATCCCTGGAACCTCCACAAGGTAGGTAGTGCACTGAGGAAGATGATGAAGCATCTCATAATGAATGCCTTCCGAGACCACCACATTAAAACTGCAAAGGGACAGGGCACACTGGAGTTATGATAGAGAAGATAGATAATTATAAGGGAGCTGTAGGCAAGTGTAAAATTTCAAGGAGTGAGATTCAAGAAGTGTGGCTTACTCATAAGTCCCTTATTAGTAAGCAAAGTAGGATTCAGACGAGTATTGGAGTTAACGATTGAAAGGTGCGAACCCAATTCGTTCGTGATCAACACTGGATCTGTCACAATAAAACTACAGGGATGAAGGACGTGATTATGTTTGGAACAAATTTATCTGCAATCTTACAGATTTTCTTCCAGATTTGAGGGAGAGGGGTGCCAACTTAGCTGTACAAATGGCCTACAGGCTCCCTCACTCTCCTTCCAAACCCCACATAAAAGGATCATGTGTCTGTTGGTGTCTTTTCCAGCCCACACTTACAGTGCACAATCCGAGCACAGTCTGAATTCCACCACTGCACACACATTCGCATGCCATGGGAAGTAAGGTGAGGATCAGAGTCTGATAAGGTGTTGTGAAAAAGGAGGGCCTGAGGGAGATACAGATCAGATAGCTTGGAAAGAGAAGCATGGATGGTGAATAGATTCAGGTCCACCTTATCAAACTGCCACCGAGGTGAGAGAGAGAGAGAAGAAGGCAGGTTACAAGGATGGAGAAGTAGTCGCTTATGAATGACATCAAGAACCTTCCATAGTCGGGTCTATATAAATAGAAGAGGTGCAGAGAAAGATGAGTACAGGAAAGGGTGCGAGTGCAAGAGATTCAGAAATTTCTGAAATCTTGTCGAAATTCAGAAGAGAGGACAAGAGGTTCTAGACAGTGGCCTCGGGTATTGTCAGATCATAACCCCCAAAGGGCATGCCGACACTTAAAAATCACCCAAAAGAAGTACAGGTTCTGGTAACGAATCTGAGAGGTGTTAAGATCAGGCAGAGAAAGCAAATGTATGGAGATAAATGGTACAGAACATATTTTATCTATTCACAAAGATGCAAGTGGCAGTTGAATGACGATTCGACTGCAAAAGAAGAGATTAAAAAAAATGCCAAATCAAGAGAGCAGAAGAGTTAGAAGACCCAACAAATGCTGTAGGGGAGAAAAAAGAAATGGGAAGAACAGAAGTGTCCAGGACATGCATCAAGCATCAGCCCAGGAGACATACAAAGTGGTGAAAATTTGGTTATCAGAAGTTGGAGTTCACAAAAATTTGCATAAAAGCCACATACTGTATTCCATTGAAGAATAGACTTAGTCAAGAACAGAGATAACAGTGAAAAGAGAAAAAACCAAGGTAAAGAAGAACACAGTATACTAGCTGAATGATGATGCCCTGGTTGCCCATCCCATGAGCCTGTGTTTGAGAAATCGTTTCAGTCTCCAAGCATCATTTCAAAAGTTTGGGTACCCCAGAACCAAGAGATACCACCTACCAGGACAGCAAGGAAGTCCAAGTGCTGGTCAGTGCAGGAAGGGGTGCATCACCCCAAGTAGTGCCCCCCATCCCCTTTTTAACAGGGAAGTCCTACCGCATCATAAATGTTTAATTTCGCACATACAATACAATGGATTGATAGGGAGCCGAGGCAACCCCTGCCGGCTGCAGGAAGTCATACACGAGCTCCCCCTCATCATGACAAACAGAGACTCTAAAGGGGATCACACAGCCAACATCTGGATAGGGACTTGAGAAGGGACTGAGGCAACACCCGTATAGGAAAAACCCTCACCAACTCCAGGAAGTTATTCCTGAGCTCCATCACAATGACAAAGCAAAACTCTTGAAGGGGGGGTACCTCTAAGTCACAAATTTCATTGATATGCTGCTAAAGAAATGTTACACACATGCTATTATTTACAGGAAATAAACCTGAATTTAGAAACTTAAATACCATCTTAATATGATGTATTTCCCAGTAACTACATGCAAAAACACCTTCCAAAAGGATCTAACACTAGTAAGTTCCCAGAGGATGATACTCTGAACACTCAATGACATTTAATGTACAGTACTAAAGTGTACATTAACATTTCACAATTCTACAAGCTATTATTCGCATGTAAATCCATAAGATTTATTTACTTCTTACAAATAATTATATTTTCTAGTAAGAACACAAATTCAGCAGCAAAAATAATTAAGAGTGCTGTATGTAAATAAAATAATTTATATTGATAAACAAAAGCAGGTGGCAGCAGCTTGACTAATAGTACATAAGTTTTTATGAACACAGAATCACGTTACTAACAGTAAAAGCACTTACATAGCTATTAATGTTGACAATTTTTCGAGACAAAAATTAAGATCTAACCACAATTGAGAAAAATAATAATGCAAGAAAAAATTTACAGCATTTAATTTAGTCTGGGTTATTAAGCACAGCATTTCAAAGCATTGAAAGTTCTCCTAAATGTACCTTGCAAAATTATGAGATGGCTTTTACTGTATAATTACAATATCAACCAACACAACTACAGTACTGTACAGTACTAGATATTTCCATCTACATTTTATGCAAGTTAAAAGAAAGATTTGAACAACGAAAGCTTAAGATAATATCCCAGAATTTCATTTTACTTACCATCATAAGGAACAGAAAAGAGAGATTGGTAGAAGAGACAATGGTACAATTATTTTGGGTTGTGCTTTTCCAAGCAAGATATGATTAGCTTGTCTCCTGTGCTAGTACTAACATGGGACAAGTAATAGTGAAGAGCACCAAGTGCTAACAACAATGTACAAAAACACCAATTAAAGTTACTCTTATCTTAGTGTTTTTGTACAAGGGGTAAGAAAGCCATCCCCCCTCCAGCACTGTAGTTTACTATACAATACTTCATTTATTTGGTAATATTTATATCATACAATACAGTTTGTACATGTTTCAAGTTTCAGGCCATTAATAAAATTTTGTTGTTTAAATTTTTATTTTACTTCCTGTTACAACAGCTCTAAATTAACTGTCATTAGAACAAATGCACAAGGGCCGTGACGAGGGTTCGAACCTACGTCCAAGAGCATCCCAGATGCTGCCTTAATTGACTGCGCTAACCATGTTGTAGTGCAGTCAATTAAGGCAGCGGTCTAGGATGCTCTCGGATGTAGGTTCGAAGCCTCGTCACGGCCCTTGTGGATTTGTTCATTTGATGCATCACGCTCTTGTGATTTCTGTGTGTAACTGTCATTAGCCTATTGTAGGTTAATTTTTATGATTACCTGCTCCAATGCTTTCCTTACATGTTGCTCACACACATTCCTTAAAGATAATGAAAACAGAGCTTAATACTGTAGTTGAAAAAGACTCATTTATGTTTCCCACATTCATCCATGTCCTTTTGACTAATTTTCTCAATTTAAAGAAACTGCCCTTTTGCTTTTCCCTATTTTGTATTGTAGTAATCATATCCTTTCTAAAGTTAAAAGTCAGATTAAGGAAATTAAATCTGTACCTGATCCACAAAAGTTTTAAAAAGTGCAAAGGTTTGTAAATAGACTAGCATGGTACCCGAGTTAAAAGATCACTGTATGGGAATGAAATTTTTAACTCCAGTACCATACTAGTCTTTTTACAAACCACTTTTCAAGCTTTTGTGCTTCAGGGACAGATCCTAGTGTTGGCCTCACATATATTATCTTGAATCCAGGTTTGTTTTTACATGCTGCTGATGATATTCTGTGTGTGTACTTCTAGGGTTATGGCTGGAATTATATATCCCAAGTCTGTCTTTCAGTTTCTTGTAGTTGCCTTCCTCTTATGGTGTACTTTTAGTTTTCCCCCCCATCTTCTTTACCTCCCAACTTGGAGGTGTAATTATAACCATTTCTCTGCCTACTTCTGGAGTGACAAGATTTTTCCTGAAACACAAGATGGTCTTCCTTGGTTTTTTACATTCAGAAGTTTTGCATCATCTGCAAACATTAATGTGTACATTGTTACTCCCTCAGAACATTAATGGCTACCCTGTCTATCACATTATTAGAGCCTAACTTATCTCTGGTTGGGACCTTGTTTCCTACCTGTTTGAAATGTGAGTGGGAGCACTAGTGTCATCCCAGCCCCTCTATGTTATATATCAGCCTTTTGTGAGGAAATGCTTTTTGGCATTCTAGGGAAATGTACTTTACCCAACAGTTTTTCTCCCGATGTATTTTGGTGAACTTGTAACACCATGAAGTAATTATCAAAAGGCACCAAACCAGAAAGACTACATAGCATGGTCTGTGTTGCTGGATATTCAAAAGGTATCTGTAAGAGTTTTAAATCTTACATGGTATTTTAAAACATCCCTGTATGTGGCACACAGTTGAAGGGTTCAGTGTACCCTGCCAACATTCATGGATGATGGAATGTATGTCTGGTTGTTGTTGTTGTTTAAGATTCGCTACCTGGAAAAAGAAGTTCCAAGTAGCACGGGCTATGGTGAGCCCGCAGTGTTGCATGTCTGGGTAGAGGTCTGAATAAGGAGCCACTTTTTGGTAATTAGGACAAGTGTGAATAGCCCCCTTAGTGGTAGTGACTACACTCATTTAAAGTAACACCGATATGGAACCCAACAAAATTCAACTGTCTTCAATCTGCTAGAGATAATAAACAGCCAACATTGAATTTTGACCACTACAGGATGCAAATGGCAAATGATTCCAGGGGGACCAAACAGATAATGATACATAGCAGTGGTTGAGGAAATCGTGCATATTCAATTGTGATTCCAGCACTGTGGTCCCTTATTAAGGAGGGGGTAAAAGGCACAGCTGTAACAACTAAGGATGGAACCACTTCAGATGATGAGGTAGTCACCACTGGGACTTGGAGTTTCATCCTGCCAAGGAAGTGGAAAGGGAATGGAGATGATAAGTTGAATTAGCCAACGATAAAGTATGGTCTGGGGCCAATTTAGCCAGGGCTACGGAGTCTGATTTTCCAGCAACTTGGAGAGGACCAGGTCACTCACCCCAAGAGCCTGTTTTTGAGATGTAGTTTCATTATCCATATACAGTACTGTACATCATTCTTTCAAAGGGTTGGGCCCTAGAGCCAAGGAATACTACCTACCAGGAAACCAAGCACTAGTCAGTGCACCGACCAGTGCCCCCCCCCCCCCACCTCTGAACAGAAGAGTCCTACAGTACTGCATCGTGCAGTCTTTTACACTAGTGCAAAGACCTTTTTCTTCCTCTCAACCCAGCCCAGCTCAGATACCCAACCAACCACCCAGGGCAGCCCCCACCAGTGGGTGGTCCAATGACCCAAAGGAAGCCCTATGTTAGTCTCTACATGTACAATGCCCAGAGAGAGGCAGGAGAGGTGGCCAAGGCATGTGCTCACTGATCCCATGGAGTCATGCAAGCCCCCTCATGACGATAATAAATAAAAAAGTGAATAAAACTGAAGTTTCTTCAAATATGACCTTAAATTCATGTTGAATTTAAATTAATTTAAATTTTAAATTCATGTTTAAAGTTCATCTCTTCAGGTTCTTCACTATTCTCATCCTGGTTACTTTCACCAACACTTTAAATAATGAATCCTCTTTGTCGCCATTATTTAATATTGGGATTATATATTGTCCCTTTCAAAATGACAGAGATCTTCAGTTTCAAATGCTGCATTTAAAATCTTAGCTAATAACAAAGGTGCAAAGAGGTAGGGAAGGATTAAAAAGACATTAAATTATTATAGTATACCAGTTGGAAGGACAGAAAAAGATGGGGCCTCGGGAGCTATGTAAATACTATACAGTGGAATCCTAAAAACAGTACTATTCCTCAAAATACATCTAAATAATGGACCAATTTTGCAACCAGATTGTATTTTTGGGGTAAATATTTTTTTCAAGTATGTAATGTCTCGCAGATAAAACCTCGACTTCTTACCGGCATCTGCACGAAGTAGTTTAATAAAAAACAAGCACTAAAAACAATGTCAAGTCTAAGAAATACCACACGAAGAGAGACTACTACTGTAACCCAAATAAAAACATGAGGTGATCATGGAAAGTCAGACTTACCATTGATCTTAGCAGTAAGGAGGTTACTTGGCTCTGCAATAAAACCAAAACAATTCTAAATAAAACAAAAAACCAGCATTGAATGTAATGAAACACCATTTTTTGGGAGAGTTTCCGAAGCTCCTCGGAACTTATCGAGTGATATGTATGTATTAGACCGTGGCATCAGTCAATTCGATTGGCATTCTTGCCTACTGGGGACCACGAGCCAGAATCTGCCCCCCCCTCCTCAGAGAGGCACGAGGAGCAATGGCCAATAGACACCTCCATGCGGTTGGAAGCATTCCATAGCTGCCATCGACTGGGTTAAGTACCCAGAGAGGTAGGCGTCCCAAAACAAACTCCATCTGGTTCAAAATTGCTACCAAAAGTCGAACTATCGAGCAAAACTCCCAATCCGAAAACAAGCATCATACAGGTAACTCCACCTCGGCCTGTCCTGCCGAAAGGCATCGACCCTGACAGCCTCACAGTTGGGGAAGGACGCCATATATATTGGGAGACGCCTTAACCACGCCGACGTGAAGAGGTTCACTTCCAAGCGCCTATACGTCCTGCAAAGCCAACTGGATGAGTCGGTGTCGACCGTCCATTCCGTGGAAAGGGAATGAACCGGGACAGGCCATCCACCAGGATGTTAGACATCTCCCTGGATGTAACACATCCTGCTCTCCTGAATGTGAACTACCAGGAGAGCCAAACCCCGAGAACTCAGCAGACGAGTCACCCAAAGTGACCAGCCCCAAAGAGCCAAGGACTACATCGAACCTCCTCGGTTCAGGCAATGAACCACTGGGGCAGTGGTTCATTGCAGTCAGAGTCCCACACAAGACCTAGCAAAGTACAAACCTGAAAGGGAACCACGTGGGACTTCCTCCTTTTCACAAGGAACCCAAACGACGAAGGGTCCATTATCGAGGCAAAATCCAGGTCACGCAGGAGGTATGCCACAATGGTCTCCCGATCCTCGTTAGGCAGGATGCGGGAAGCCGAAAATCTCCGGAAGGAAGGGACCGAAGAACCCAGGGAACCTGGAACTGAACTCTATGAGGAGCAGAATTCTTATCAAATTCGTACAGGAAAGGTAGGGAGGGGAAGGGGGGTTAAGAAAACCCATCTCCCTGTAACAAGCCCTGCACTGAGGGTACCAACACTCAAGCGGGGCCAAATGGTGCCCAAGCCCCAAAAATCAACTCCTCCCCAGCCCCGGGATCCTCCACACCAGAGTCATCCTCCAAACCCTCCGCCCCTAAAGAAAAGGCAGAGTCCACCGAAAAAACTGTTAAAAGGGAGGGGGGGGGGGGCTTGCTGGACAGACCCCGACGCTCCGGCTGGAGGAGCAGGCTCTAATGCCTCCATCGCTGAGCTGGATGGAGCAGCCCCCTGAGACCGTCCAAGTCTCACCAACATCTAAACCCTGCCCCAACTCCGAAACCCCCAGACATTTGGGAGCTGGCAGCAGGGGGAGCAGGACAAATAACAGCAGGGAAAGGATGAGGGTGTGCGGACGAACCCAAAGTCAAAGGGACAAATGCCCCCAAGCCCGGGTCCCTATAACCAAAGCGGGGCAGCCGAGGGGCCATCTGGAAAGGCAACCAACCAAGAGCGTTGCTGCAACCGAAATCTTGCATGCAATGACGATGCTGCCTGTACCCGATTATCAGTATCAGTGGACTGGGTGAATTGGAGCACCAGCAAGGAACACCACTCGCAGGACTCCGGGTCAAAGGTGTCGCCGACCCAACAGGCACCATGATGAAGGCAAAACTGGTGAATGTCACCCTGAGACAAGGGGACAGTAAATTCGAACTCGCCCAAGGTGAGATGGGACCCAGAGGATGCATCCAATAGACCAATGAGCCCCAATGGAGTTTTCCAAGGCCCTTAGGCTGACTGCTAAGGGAAACCCAAGCAAGGTACTGCTAACTGGTTGGCCCAACTACCAAGAGAACAATTAAAGCCGAATCCCTGCGACATGTGCAATCACAGGGACCTAGTAGGGAACCACCAGAATAACAGAAGGTGAACAATGACCAAGTGGCAGACCCCCCACCAGGCAACAAACAAAAAGAAAGAAAGAAAAACCCCACAAAAGTACAACGTACTTACAGGGCCCCTAGGGAAGATGGCACTAGGCTCATGCAGCTCCAGTACTCCGTGAATTACTCCTGGCCCACACGGCATAACACCACCACAAAGGCACAGCACTACACAGAGACAGGAACCAGAGTCAAACGACTGCCACTCATCACATCAACCTCAGAACTGGGGTTGGATGGCCTGGACGGGGATCTGGGACGACTCCTTACCCCGGGAGAGGGGAAAGCTGCTAAGACAATGGTGCCGCAGCGGATGTGACATCATGCTTGTTTGCTCGCTTTTGGATTGGGGAGTTTTGCTTGAGAGTTTGGCTTTAGTAGTAATTTTGAACCATATGGAGTTTGTTTTGGGACGCCTACCTTTCTGTGTGCCTAACCCGATTGATGGCAGACATGGAATGCTTCCAACCACATGGAGGTTTCTATAGGCCATTGCTTCTCGTGCCTCTCTGTGGGGGCCAGGTTCTGGCTCGTGGTCCCCGGTAGGCAAGAACTCCAATTGAACTGACTGTTACCACGGTCAGATACATACATATCAGTCTGCTAAGCTCCAGGGAGCCGGAGGGGGCTCTCCTCAGAAAAATATATATAAAGCAATGAGTTAAAACATTACATTACAGAAATGTACAGAGTAGTGTTCTAAACAAATATTAAGTTGAACTCATTCAACGATAAAAAAAAAAGGATACAGAATGCTAAACACATGAAAATTTAATGCGATATACTGTATTGCCATGATTTGATTTCTGGGTTGGTTATTATCAGCTTACCCCATCACTCCCTTATACTGTACAGTATTCAGCTTATCCCATCCAATCCCCATACAGTATTGGAATGCATCAACTGCAGAATTAAGAGTATGTGTGCAAAAATAATGTTTAGTTACATAAAACACTCCTTTCTGAGCTAGTCTGATACATCAATTGCATCCTGAGCCAATCTTATGATTCTGGGAGAAATTACCTTTCAATGTTGGTAAAAAACTATACTGACAAAATATCAATCCCAAAATTGAAATAAATCAAGAATTATCTGCATAATACAAATAGACAAGCTCATTTGGAGTCACTGATCATATCGTATTGAGTGCTGAACATGAACTACTGTAGTGGAGAGAGAGTAAACACATGCAAAATAATCGAGGACTTTGTAGCAATGCAAAGAAGAAGATTTTGTAGGTTTTTAATTTGCAAATATATTGTAGCAATTACTCTAAATTACAATCATATCTGCAAAAACTAAACAAAAATAATTATAAATTGAGAGTAGAAATGGTTCCACAACTTTTTTGTTTAGCAATTACTGTTTTTCTCTATTGCATTGTTTTCTTTCATAGTAATGTAGCACACTATGCAAACTTTTATGAAGTAATGTTCTCAGAAATAAATATTTTTTATTTTTATAAATAAAATGTAGTTTTGCGTTTGCTCAGCTTGAGTAGATGCATTTATATGTGAATACTTTCATAAGTACAGTACTGTAAAGATCAATATAAAAATGATCCAGTGTGCCATAAAAGTACTGTATATAGGGCTTAGACAGGGCCCTATGTACTTATAGGTCCAGGGCCTGGCAACACATAAATCCAGCCCTCTAGATGTCATAGCTTGTTGTTACTAATTGATTAATACAGAGTGACAATTGACTGTATTATTCCAATGATTGCTCTGAAAGGTTGTAGTTATTGTTTCTCTTCTCTTGTCTTAAAATGAGCAACTGGTCAGGTGGTGGACCAATGTACACCATTCACCACCTTCCTGCTCCAACTATGTGGCAAGACCAATAGAAAAATCCATGACATGGTGGGCAAAAAGTTAATTCAAGCCTGTATGAAAGCAATGTCCTTTATGGCCCCTGTTTAAGGAAAGCAACCATGGGGGCCCCGCCCTGCTCAGAAAACCTAAAAAAAAAAAAAACTAGACAGATGCCAACAAATTTGTTTGGATGATATGTCATCATGGATTTAAACAAAAATAAACAGAAAAGCTAAGGAACCTTTCCATGGAAAATATGGAGAAACACTACAACAATGGATACTAACAAGGGCATGGAAAATGGAAAAAAATGCCCATCTACAAAAAGGTGAGACATGATGATTCTATAAACTACGTCACTGATAAGATTAGTTGCAAAGACATTAGAAGAAAGTAGTCAGGGTGAAATGAATGGACTACATTGAAAGGAACCATAAAAATCTGAAAAAGCTAGCTAGTTTTAAAACAATGAGGTTGTGTGTGTGTGTTTCCAAATTACTAAGCTAATATGACAGACTAACAAACTATGCAGAAGATGGAGGGACTGTAGTTACCTTGAATTAAAAAAACAATTTATGCCTGTATTTTAAGCTTTCAGAGGTACCCCTCGACCAACTACTGATGTATCCCAGGATGCAACCCACAATGGTTGCCTAACTCCCAGGTAAACAGCGGCATCAGATAAAAGGAAATGTGCACAGCAATATCTGCCCTGCTGCTGCAATCAGACCATGGAGCCCTCGATTGTGTGCTGACAATATAAATTACTTCGAACTTGGATGAAGGATTTTCTATCAAAAATTGATGCCGGCACACTATGAGGAAGTCTTAGAATGGAGGAGTCACAAGTGGGGTTCCACATGAATAGGTGCTGGTGCCAATAATGATCTTTATGTACAGTAAATGGCATGCCAAAAGGAACTAGAGTATATGAATGTTAAAATGTGAAAATGTTACAGAATATAAGAAAACAAAATGAGTGACATAATATAATGAGAACCTAGAAAGACAGTACTAAGTGAATGGAATGAAAAATGACATTAAATTCAATGGGGTAAATAACAAGCAATGGAAAAAAAAAGTTATTGTAAATACAAACCCCACAAGATACAAAACCTGTTGAAAAACAATCACTCATACACAGAAATATATGATACTGTATTAGCAAATAGTAGGATAGGATTCAAGTACTGTACATAGATGGTGCTGAAGAAATGATTTACAACATGTGAGGCTGAAGCTGGAATATGCAATAACAACATGTGAACTTAAAACATCTGCATAGTACATGTATTAAACAAAAAAATGTGAAAAGTTTAGAGACACAAGAAAGATACCAGAACAGTGAAGGAGCAGCTATGAACATTGATTACAGGAATAAAGGCTACCAAAATTAGTAGGTAACAAGAGCAGAAAAGCAAAATGTCAGGGTTGAGTATATAAACAGGAGAACAATCAACAACTGGCAAGGAACAGAACCAGAGGTCATAGACTTAAAATAAGAGTAAAGAAGTATTAAAAAACATAGGAAACACTACATGTAGAATAAAGTTGTAGAAACATTTATTGTACTTCAGGATTTATTAGCCAGAATGATAAACTACAGCAGAAATCAAAATAAAGCATCTTGAGGTTATCTTGAGATGATTTCGGGGCTTTAGTGTCCCGGCGGCCCGGTCCTCGACCAGGCCTCCACCCCCAGGAAGCAGCCCGTGACAGCTGACTAACTCCCAGGTACCTATTTACTGCTAGGTAACAGGGGCATTCCGGGTGAAAGAAACTTTGCCCATTTGTTTCTGCCTCGTGCGGGAATCGAACCCGCGCCACAGAATTAAGAGTCCTGCGCGCTATCCACCAGGCTACGAGACCCCTCAAAATTAGCATAATGGGCATCCTGTAATTATATGGGTGCAAAGATGACAAAAGTATTAACTATAATAAGAATACAATTTGGAATCCCAGTCCTCATCCCAATCACTGTATGCTTCACCAAAACTAGCATTTACATGAATATGTAATTTGGTACGATGAACTTTTATATATTATTTCAAATTCTGATATTTATGTCAATTATTTTAACAGCCCATTATCAAAAGTGCTCATAAAATGCCCCCTCCCCCCAAAAAATACAATACAGTAGTTACAAAAGCAAGTAAATAGTGTAAGTAACATGTCCAAACAATAGTATGCCTTACTGTGCAGTTTATATTATGGGCAAAAATAGCCAATACCTGGTTGCCAAGAAATGCTATACTGTGGTACTAAAACATGCTCAGAATGCTACAGTGTAGTGTGCCAGAAGTGAGTGCCAACTCAGGCATGTGGCAAGTACTCTAGGGAGTGAAGATAAAGAAAAGCACTTGTGTTCGCGAGTTGAAATACTGCCGCAGAAGAGTATAATATAGAGTCATTTATCTATAATGGCAATAACTGCAATCTTGGATTCCATTACAAAGTTTTAGACCTTCATTGCAAAAGCTACCAATTCTACCATCTAGAACTATGTATAAAACCTTTTTTTGCATGTTTTATTGTAATAATGTAACTGTATGGTTAATTTTAATTTAAAAAAATTCACGAGCTTTCCTCAAGGGAGACTGAAATTGGTTCAGGGTAGGTCTTGCAAGTATTATTCTGAAAATGGATATGAAACCATATTTCCATAAATATTGGATGGTTAAAATAAACAATAAAATACTAGAAAATCTTAATCCAATTCAATTTTGGGCATATGGAAGTTCCTTGATGAGTTTCCATCTACATTTTGTTCACTCAATCTATCCAAGTCCCGTTCAATCTTAAACAAATAAACAAATATATGGGGTACTGTACACAACACATATCTTTAAATCGGGAGTCGATTGTTCGTAAAAATTACCAACAGCAGCACACTATTGACTCTAAAGAGTAAGCACTGACCCCATGCATTACCGTCTCTCAACACTCTACATAGAACATCTATCCTAAAAGGTGCAGATAATCACATGGAACATATTTTGAGATAAATGACTCCATATCACACACTGCTACACATTTTCTATCTTTGCCATCAAAGCACAGGTAGAGTGCTTAGACTAGTAAAATATAAATTTACCTGTGACAACTTTCCATACATCTCAAGCTTCAAATTGGCGCCACTGCTTACTGCAATGAAACCTCCAATGTATTCCTTAGTTCACAAATACCTAGCCACAGGATATAAGGTATATACATTTTAAACAGGAAACAAACAAAATTTAAAAACTTTTTTTGGTTTACTTGCAGAACAAATTTTCGTATGTAAAGTCCATGAAAATCCCCAAATAATGGAGTATGTAATGTTATAAATATTTAGTAAAATAAAACGAGAAATTGCAGCACCGATGTTCACGTAACTCTTTCTAAAGTATGGCTCAAGGTTTCTTGGAATTTACATTACTGTACATGTACACCAAGGGTCACCGATACACTCTTAACAAAGTGTGATATGTGATGGAGCTATCTAAAATAATATTCCTATTTCATAGTTCTTTCTAACAAATATTCACATTACATAATTATGCTTTTAAAACAATATTGCTAGTAATAGTTTCAGAGTTATAGTAATCCTTACTGGCAGAGGAACTAGTATGATACATACTGTATCAATGCCCCTGAAGATTTATATACCGTATACTGTACTGTATATTATTTATTCACATTAAAAATGTTTGACTTTTATTTGTGATATGTTCTGTAAATTTTCATCAGATTGCTAGTTTGGCATAGAAACTTTTAACTTTATAACTTTTAATGTTACACAAATTCTGATTATAACCCGACTTCTAAAATAAAAAAGCAATAGCGAGACATTTCCCTACACCATAAAACTTTTCTTCACAACTAATAATTGAAGACAAAGCATAGTACAGTACATAAACTTGCAGAAATACTTTGCAAGATGACATTATTACCCTAGCTATTGTGCATATCAAATGAGGAAAGTTGAATGCACGATTATGATACCCAAGACACAGGTAATTATACATAAAGGAAATGCATACCATACTGAAAAGAAAATGACTCGTCTTGCAGAGACATGACCTATGGGTAGTAAGTACCAAGACACTTATTACATACTGGCATTTGCCCACATTTTTCTGGCAGTTACTTATTCAACATAACTTTTGTTGAGAAACACCCAGTTGAGAATACAGTAATCTTTTTGGCAAATATTTTGTCTATAACAGCTTTCTCAAACTACTTGGTTTCTATACATCATTGTCAGCAATTTATGCTCTGTTCAACTAAGGCTGTTGCTGTTCATAGCCTGCAAGCCAAGAGCTATCACAATTTGGCTGATCAGAAATGTCCAGAAATACTTGATAAGCTCCCACATTGACATTAATGTGATACCAGCAATATTTCTAATACTGTACTATATTTACTGGCACAGTAATGGGCATGAAAGCTTGATCTTCAATATTAATAAGAGCTCTGCCTGTATCCTTATGTTTCATTAGGTTCACCTACAGGCTTCTGTCACATTTCTCACTTAAAGTTGCGTGTTTTCATATTAGGGACTTGACTTTCAAATGCTTTTCATAATAAAGTTAACAGATACCCTCTTGTATGCTCTTAGTAGTATTTGTTTAACAAATTATTATTACAGTACTGTATTATTAAAAATTATATATCATACTGTGATGCTTCCTTTTAATTTTATTCTCTAATCAGAAAATAAATCAAAGGTCATAAAATGGTAGATTTTAATGGCATCGTATACATAAATGGAGGAATCATCAAATAGCAATACTGTATATTATAATTTTCCTCTATTTAAAATTAGTCGAGACTGTGATATTACTAGCATTACCTCAAATTTTGTCCATTTCATCAGCCAATTGTGCATTTTGTTGAAACATTTAAATACTAATGCTTCACACTGTAGTGTCAAAAGTAAGGTGAAGTAATGAACATATCAATGATGCAAATTTTGCATAGTGTAATCTGAAGGGTAATCATACAAGTGATAAAACAATTAGCTCAACACCAGACATAAACCACAAAGGCTATTTATGTTTAGACGAGTTAACTGGATAACTCATGGATACACGACTGAAATTATGGGTGATACTAAAGATATGTTTTTCTTCCAACAAACTGTTCCAAATTACTAAGAACTTTCATTTGTTAACACTTTTTAAATGGAAAAAAAAATAATGGGCATCATTAAACTAAAACATAATAATATTATCAATCTAAACCCTATAACCAATATAAAACTAAATTATTTTAAAATGTGTACTGTACTATGTTGTACCTAATAGGCCAAGTTGCACAAGAAGCTAAGTTTCCTGAAATTATATATTTTTCTCAAATTATTTTTCTTATGGAATGATAAAGCTTTCCATTATGTATGATTTTAATTTTGTTAAAATTTAAAATAAATATATAAATTCGATCAAACCTAATCGACCTACCTAACTTATTCTAACTTAAGTTAACCTAAGTCAGTAATTCATGTTCTTAATATACTGTAATATAATAATAATAATTCAAATAAACAAAATTGAAAAGAAATATTTGAAAATAATGAAAATTACTTTGCCTGTTAGGCAAATTAGGCCTTGCATACTAGGTCAACTAGTGCATTCTGGCTATTAGATATCACACACACACACACACAGCTTCAAGTGTAGATATGATAGAGCCCAGTAGGCTCAGGAATCTGTACATTAGTTGATTGACAGTTGAGAGGTGGGACCAAAGAGCCAGAGCTCAACCCCCGCAAGCACAAGTATACACACACACACACACACGGATACGGAGGGAGAGAGAGAGAGGGTTAGGGAAGAAGGGGGGCATGGGGAAAACATGGAGGGCCTGGGGTAAGGGAGCAGGGAGGGCATGGTCTGGAGAGGGTCTCTACTGGTTGGGGAGGTGCAGATGATTGGGGGAGAATGGGTGTAGGGTGGGATGATGGGCCTGCTGGTGCGGGGATTCCCACTCCCCTCTGAGGTTACTGTAGATACTGAGGTGAGTACACACACACACATTATTATATAGACCAGTTACCTATTCAAACCTCATACGGAACATTTCTAGTTTGATTTTGCATGTAATTTGATGTATATAATATCAGATTCATATACATGGCATCTAACCTGAAATTGGTCCAAAATGCAGTCAACTGAAGTAAGTCCCTATTAATTTTTGGCTGAAAAAAAAAAAAAAAAAAAAAAAAAAAAAAAAAAAAGATCAGATCTAGGTCACAAAGAGCAACCCTTTATTTTCACGGAGATTACTTTCTTGTAAAACCAGTATACAACGAGTTCCAGAATGCTTGATATGTATATGAAGTGATGTAAGAATACAAAAAAAAAAAAAAAAAAAAAAAAAGTAAAATGCATAATGCAATGTGTGGGAGACTGTCAAACAACTGAAAATGCAGTAAACCCATGGATTCATATGTATTAATAGACCTTATTGTGCTTAACCTATGTACTATAAAAATGATCCATGCACCTCGAAACTTGGTAATAAACAATGTGTGTTCACCAGAACTGAATCAAATCAAGGATTAGAAACTACTGTGCTAAGGACAAACCTTTGGGTAGTTCAAGCTAATGTCACCAGTCTGATTATAAAATTATCTTTCAGTTCTTGAATATTTATTTAAGAGACTAATTGGCACATTCAAACAGGTTCAGGTCGGCCCAAGACACAATACAGTAATGCCCTTCCTTTTTAGTCAGTTTGGAGAAAGGCCTAAGAAAGAAGGCAGACATGATGATTTCAGGTTCTTCACTTACTTCAAGCAACATGCCAAAAACCACCAAGGCATTTGAGTAAGTCCCTGATGGATCTACAGTGTCTGCAAGACCTGCATCACTGCACTACTACCCCACTTTAAAGTAATCAGAATATGTAGGTATGTACTGTACTGTTACATCACAGTCCATGTAACACAGTTAATACTCACTTCTTCTTAGTTTTCGGTGATGTAGATTGGAACACCGATGAAGCAGACATGAGATTCTCAATGTACTGGCCAAGAACCTGGTTTTCAGAGCGCAGTTTAAGATTCTCTTCTTTGACACTATCAACTCGCTGAGAGAGATCTGCAGGACATCAATATATTAGTAAAACTGGCATTCAATTTACACTTTAAAGCATTAAAAAGTGGCAAATAGACAAAGTGATAATATTATAATTACTTTCTCTGGCACCATCACAAAGACAATGGTGCTATACAGGAATAATTAATTTAACCTTTGGGTTAGATTTAAAATGCATATGCATGATACACATGCGCTGGTGCCCAATTATATTACCACTTCTTACTATAATTAATTTAAAGTTTATTCATTTATATTAATAAATATTATATTATAAGTTAAGATTTTATATCCAGAGACCAGAGACTTGTACTCGCCTAGTTGTGCTTGTGGGGGCTGAGCACAACGCGAGCACAACGCGAGCACAACGCAAGCACAACTAGGCGAGTACAAGACAGCTCTGGATATGAAATTGTATTTGGTGTTATGTGGTAGAAGCGGTAAGATTGTGAGATGATGATGGTTAAATATGATAACTTTTGGCTCAAAGATCAGGTGCTGAAACTGTACACCATTCAGCACAATACTGCCGAGTCTCATTCATAGGATGTGTGCCATGCTGTGGGTTACGAAGAGAAGTGTTGGTAGCTGTATTAGGAGACAAAGGGTTAGCAAACTAGGTTGTCAGAGTGTTGTACTAGCAATGAGAGCAGCAGGACTTATGACTTTAGACAGTTGGGGTGGAGGTACATATATTTGTTATAGGTACATACTGTATATTGTATTGTATTTTAAGTGAATAATTTATTTTATTTGTATAAATTGCATTGTGTAAACATTATTCAGTATTACAAATTATATTTTTAAACATTTATTACTAAACAAAACATCACACGTCTTTCACATAATGCCTTCGTTCAGCTAGCAGTAAATAGATATCCGGGAGTTAGGCAGCTGTTTTGGGGATACATCCTGGGAAATGTCAATACACTTCAACCTAGGGACAATCTCAATACACACACACACACACACACACACACACACACACACACACACACACACACAAAGGGTTCCCGGTTCCTGTCCTAGACAATGGGAATTATTATTATTATTAATATACATACTGTACTTATGAACTTACATGTACACAATTGTGCCTGTTAACGTGTCTTGAGTATGTGGACACGTCTGTGAAAAGTAATAGATTTCCAATTTAAAACTCAAAGCAAATGGATGCTAACCTTCTTAAACAACTGCTAAGAAGCTTAATAAATTTAGTTTGGCAATCTAAAATGCTCACCATCCAGCGTGTTCTGCAGCTCCAGCACCTGAGCAATGAGGCGGGCCTTCTCCTCCTGCTCGTCAGGTGACATATCTAGTCCTAAGCCTGAAATGAACATTCAAGTGACAATATTAAAGTTTACTTGAAGGAGCAAACATCCTTTTATCAAACAAGTAATGTTATAAAAAATATAAATGGTTAAAGTATATTAATAAATTATATATGATATGATATCTCCTCCATCCTCAGTATAGTTCAAGTTGGACCGTTGTGCTTTCTTTGAGTGCATTAACAAATGGATCTGTGTACAGTACTTTTTGTTTTTAGTTTATTTACTTTACAAACAGTACTGTATGTTTATGAATCTTGAAGAGTAAAATTTTGATTGTGTAATTTTATTATATCCTAAATAAAGAATGTTCTATGATCCAAGTAAAGTTCTCACAAGAATGTAAGAACTGTTGTTTAAAAATATGACCTTGCTGCTGTCTCTTGTTCAGTATTAGGTTTATAATAGCTCTGGTGGTCTTCACATTACTGTCTACACTTCCTGCTTTTACAGTTTCTGAAATGAGGTCTCTTAATCCATTTGTGTACAGTACCAATTTGCTCACAGTATTCGTCATTTGATTCAGTTGGCACACTCCCCACTCCATTTCTCTGCTTTCCTTCCTTCCTAATGATCTGGTACTCTCTGGGGAATACTACATTGCTGATCATTTCCATGTGTGCATCGAGGTAACAGTTCATGGAAAAGTAGCATTAGTAATGGATTTTGTTTCTCAAGAGATTCATGCCAATAGATAATTTTCAGTTTTGAAAATTTCCAATTACCTGTACCTGTACTGTACATATTATAATAAATTTAAATGTTAATTGTATTCATTTTTTTCCAAGAAACAATAGCCTTCACTCTAAATATAACGAAGTCATCAAGCAATATTTTAGTAGTGTAACGAGGAAAAAACCATCCTCTTTGTCCCCTTACCAGTCAAATTAAAATGTTTACCAAAAAGTCAAAGCATTGTTGAAGCCAACCCTCTATGATCCAAGTAAGTTCTCCCTTCCCTAATTTGTAGCGAGAATTTACAAATTTGGGTACTATAGGTAATGGTGTATGTAAAAAAATAAAAAATTACTATTATGCAAAGGACTGTTGGAGCCATTTGTGTATGCAGACGGGATAGACTCCAAACTCTGGCCTCGAGTAGAGTCTGATATTTCAGAAGCTGCTGTTCGATCATCATCCAGCACGACTAAGGAGAAAGAAATTAACAAATATTACACATAAGATATAGTAATACTGTTCTGTATATTTAAATAGCACTGTACTATGTGATATCCAACATTCACCCACTTTTACAAAAGGATAAAAATTGCACAATTTTTTTGAAGAGCAGCTTTGGTGATGATTTGGAATAATAACCAAATGCAAAATGACTATGATGAACTTTTATATCTAGCCCATATTAGTCAATCAATTCCCACATAAATTATGCAATTTATGCAGTTTTCTTAATCAGTATATTGAAAGGCTATTCTAAGTATGTTTGAAAAACCTACCTGATGGGTCATCATCCACCAGAGGTATGCTGTTGTCATCTTGGTAGCTAGACATGGTCCCCTCTCAATCACTCTGCAAGATATTCAATGATTATAATATGGGCAACAAAGTAAGTAATTATCAGAAGAAAGTACAGTACTATGTCAGTGAGACTTGGTACTGTCTCAATGAGGATGAGCATGACTAAGAGGGACACAATCAAAGTTGCAGGATAATCAAAAGGAGCTAAATATCACTAAGGATGTCAATATGAAAACAAAAGCGCATAAGGTGGTAGATATCAAAGTATCAGATTTACCAAGGGTTCTATTGTGGTACAAGTGACTGAGGAACAGGTAGGAAGCAAGACATGCAAGTCCTGGAACATTCAACTAGCATGAGCATGACTGTAAGAGGGACAATGCAGTTCAGACAATAAGGAGCAGGGCGGCACTCCATTAAGTGCCCGTGAGTTAAATGTGTATGGCCAATACATAACCTCGCCAGAGCCATTTTCCACTACTAATTACAGTGGAAGGAGGAAGGCCAAGGGAACAGGCTACCCTTAAGATTACACAGTTTGTTATCAGTAACAAGATAAATGACCCTGCCAATGGGCACAGATCGAGGAATTAATGACTGGGAAGAAATCAGAATAAGGAACACCTTTTCGGGAAATAGTACAAGTGCAGATAGCCTCCGTAGTAGCAAGTGTCCACACGCTCATTTAAGGAAATACCTGTACCAATATGGCTGGGAACCCAGCAAACTCAACCTCCTAAAATCTGCTAGAAATGAGATGCAGCCAATATTGGATTTCTGCTACCACAGGATGTATAGGGTTAAATGATTCCAAAGCCATGAGAGCACTACAAGAATCAACCACTATGACAAAAGAGTGCCGACAACAGAAAAGCAATCGAGGAAGGGCATACAAGATAACATATACAGTAGTTCAGCTGTGAAGATGCTTGCCTCTAGAGGTAGGCAGCACATATAGATTTAGTCTGGAAAGATAACAGAGTATCCAACACTGTCAGCAGACTTGAACCCATTCATGAAGAGGGTAACAGAACAAAGAAGGATGTTATGAAGAAAAATGTTCAAGGAAAAAATGCTTCAGAACAAAAGGAGGGATAGAAGCCTTTATCACATGGGTCAAAGACCTGAAAATTTCACAAGTGGAACTTGTCAGGGAGGCAAGGATGAAACGATGCAAGGAGAGACAATGTCAACACAAACTGTAAGGGAGGCTTGTAAGCGAGACATCCGAACAGAAAAAGTTAGGTGGTGAAAGGGAACCAAGCCCACTGGAGGGGCAACAGCATAAGCATGGCAAAAGCGAGAATGAAAATGTTGCAGAGACCTTGCGAAGTAACAAAGGCAATAACAATCTTGATTCTGGAGCAACAAGATGTCCATTCATACAAGCATACAACATTTCAACATACAAGCTCTGGATAGGGGTTAAATAAAAGGCACCAGAGCTGAGGTGCAACCCAGCATGGTGAAGAGCATCAAGATAGTTATTGGCAAGTGTTATGTAAGTAATATACATACAGTACTTGCTCCATATTCTCATTAGCTTATGTTCAGATAATGAGATGGGTCTGTTAATTCTACATAACCTATCTCTAAGTTATCACATTCCTAGAAGTCCTTAACTGATTTTTGGTCCACTAATTGCAATTCCCAAGTAAACAACTAATTACAGTTAATACCACTTCCCAACCTGGTAGATGGTGGTTAGGTGAGATGGAGGCCTGTAATATAAGCTTCAACAACACATCAAGCAGCACACTGGCACCATCTGGTCACCATTTGGTCCGGGAGACATCTCCCGTCACGCAGGGTGCAGTCGCACCTCCACAGATCTCCAGTATCAGCTCTTGATACTGGTAATGGCTCAAAAGGGCCACCACTTACGGGCTATTCATGCCCGTGCCACCTTTTCGATGGTTTAATCGTCATCTTGGACACATTCATGGGAGACATCTCCCGTCACGCTGAGTGCACTTGCACCTCCACAGATCTCCAGTATCAGCTCTTGATACTGGTGATGGCTCGAAAGGGCCACCACTTACGAGCTATTCATGCCCGTGCCATCTTTTGGGTGGCTTCATCTTCATCTTCTTCATCTGTTTAAAACACGGGAGACATCTCCCGTCACGCTGGGTGCAGTCGCACCTCCACAGATCTCCAGTATCATCTATTGATACTGGTGATGGCTCAAAAGGGCCACCACTTACCAATTCATGCCCGTGCCACCTATTGGGTGGCTTCATCTTCATCTTAACACATTCACAAGGGAGACATCTCCCATCATGCAGGGTGCATTCGCACCTCCACAGATCTCCAGTATCAGCTCTTGATACTGGTAATGGCTTAAAATGGCCACCACTTACGGGCTATTCATGCCCGTGCCACCTTTTGGGTGGCTTAATCTTCATCATCATCATCCGAAAACAGCACCATTTGGTCACCACTTGGTCCGGGAGACATCTCCCGTCATGCAGGGTGCAGTTGTGCCTCCACAGATCTCCAGTATCATCTTTTGATACTGGTAATGACTCGAAAGGGCCACCACTTACGGGCTATTCATGCCCGTGCCACCTCTTGGGTGGCTTAATCTTCATCAATCAATCAATCAAGCAGCACACGGGAGACATCTCCCGTCACGCAGGGTGCAGTCGCACCTCCACAGACCTCCAGTATCAGCTATTGATACTGGTAATGGCTCAAAAGGGCCACCACTTACGGGCTATTCATGCCCGTGCCACCTTTTGGGTGGCTTAATCTTCATCAAGCCGCATTTATGGGTTATTCATGCCCATGCCACCTGTTGGGTGGCTTAATCTTTATCAATCAATCTAGCAGGCAAGTTACAGCCCTGCTCCTGTGCCAGGTAAGTCCATTACGGGCTCACCATAGACCATGCTACTTGCAACTTTTTGTTCCCAGTAGCCGAATCTTAAACAACAACAACTACAACAAGCAGGCAGTCTAAACCCCAAGAGTGGTTCAGAACAGACACTTTAGATACCACACATCTTCAACATTCACCAACAACAATGTAACATTCGACGTGTTCAGTTCCTGCCCTCACAAGAAACTTCAGCCTTGACACAGAACAGACAGCCAGATTCCGGCCACATAGAGCTTCAAAGTTCTTGTCTCCACTGCTGGAGCCTGGCACTTGAGCTCTTCGACTCCGCCCGCATTTATAATGCCACGCTCTACACACTCACCCCGCATCCGAGCTCATAACCCTCGCCCTCACTCGGCTCTCTGCCCCGCTCCAGGCTTCATCTCAACTACAACAACACTTCACTACATTGCCATCAAACAGACTACTGTAACCAACACTATACTAAATATGAATAACTACTAAACTCTGTGTCTAATCAACCAAATATGTACTCGTAAATACTGTATACATTACAGATGAAGGACTGAAGGAGTAGGCAAGGCAGCCATAGTCCAGTTTAGATAGAAGAAGAAAAATAGTGCAACCAGGCATGATAGGACTGATCTCATCCAAACTTTTAAAATACTGAATCAGGAGGATATTGATTTAGACTACATTTTTAAAAGGACCAGATGTAACACATGCAAGGAGCAACGGCTCCAAGCTCAACAAGTTACAATGTAAGACAGAAATTAGATGCTTTTTCCACCCATTGGGTTATAACTCCCTAGAACCACCTACCCACTGAAGCCATAAATCCCAAGATGTTATTGCAGTTCAAAATTCTGCTGGGGAAAAAAAAAAGAAAACCAGAAAATCCCAGTCCCAGTCAGGTGACTGTATAAATGCAAATACTGATGCAACAGTGCAAATCAACAGTCTCCGTGATGTAGTTAGCAAGACACTCGCCTGGCGTTTTGCAAACGCTTCGGCCTGGGTTCATATCCTGGCCGGGGAGGATTTACTGGGCATCAATCCTTAACTGTAGCCTCTGTTCACCCAACAGTAAAATGGGTACTTGGTTGTTAAACGATTTGTCATATTCCGGGGAATATTAGGATTAAGGATCTGCCAGAAACGCTATACGTACTAGTGGCTGTACAAGAATGTAAGAACTCTTGTATATATAAATAAATAAATAAAATAATCCTTAACAACCATGTACACAAAATGACCATACGAGACAAATGAATTATACCCCAATCCGTCTAATTACCGCAAGCTATACAAGCTTCACAAAGCTTCCTGGCAATACATTAGTAATGAATAAATATGATATATTTACTCATTATAATGTTGATGCTGAATGTACATCACGAAAAAACATAACTTTAATCTGAAAAAGTGTCTTTTTATAAAGAAATTAGACGAAAATAAAGAGCAGGTGACGCCAAATCAAGTCGACAATCCCAGCGTCGGTTAGGTCAGGTTAGGTTAGGTTAGGTCAGCCTAACCTATCATATTTATTCATTAGTAACGTATTACCAGGAAGTTTTGTGAAGCTTGTGTAAGCTTGTCGTAGCTTGCGGTAATTAGACGGACCCTTATACCCAACCACCAAAGGCTGGGATGAGTCACAGGCAGTTATTAACTTCAACAACCACTTAGAGATAACTAACATTATCTAACACTAAACTCTTGAGTTGGAACAAAACGCAACATAAAAAAAAATCAATACGTGTATAGAGGAAGAGCCAGCCCCCAAGCACCAATATACACAGCACAGACACACATACAAGTTCGTGTGCTGCAACTAGCAAGCTCACTAATTGATTTTTCCTCCCTCACACGTCTCTCACCAACGAGTATATACACAGAGCCAGACCCACCAACACTCACTTGTGCGCCCTCAGTAACTATATGGTGCAGTAGAGCCGTGGAGGCCAGAAACAGTGCCAGAAGGTGGAGGGAGCGAGGGCCTGTCTGGCACTAGTGATGACGTCACACACAGGGCCCCGCCCTCCACACACCTCATCTCGTACACTTTTCAGACTCTTCGCACACAAACACACACACAAGCGTTTCATACCCTTGCAGAAAGAATGACAGATGAGTAGTCACTGATGTGACGAGTTATACTGAATTTTGTAACTAGCTCATCAAGATTGTAACTTGCTTAGCTAAATGAATTGTGGGGTTCAGTCCCTGAACCCATTATGTGCCTCTGTATCCCTTTCCACTACCGCCCACAAGATGGGTATGGGGTGCATAATAAATGAACTAAACTAACTGTGTTCAGTCCCTGAGCCCATTATATGCCCTATAGCCCTTTCCATTACCGCCCACAAGATGGGTATGGGGTGCATAATAAATTAATTAAACTAACTGACGTCAAAGGCCAGAAAGCAAGAGTATAAAGAGCTATGCCATGTTCAGAACCGAGAATTATATGTACGGGCAGCATAAAACATTCACTAGACAGTGTGACATTGTAATTGCCAAAATTAGGATGGAATATCTATATCTATAGCATGTGGCTACAGGTAATGAATCCCCCCAATGGTGAACATTCTAATTGTAAACTATGTGAACAAGAGCTGGGACACACTCTGCAACACTATATCTGTGATTGTCCTGTTGTCAATGATTTCAGACCAAATGGTTGAGGTACTTTGAGCTCTGTAACTACTTAATACACTCACGAATATTGGAAGATATTCTTGTACTCTGCCCAGAGTGTGCTAGTGCGGGCTAATAGATCAGCCTCGCATTTCATGTTCTCTCTTGATTCCGTGTATAACTAACCATTCTGTGAGATAGGGATATTAGATAAACTTACAGCTAGTTTTTTTTTTATCTACACTGTGTAAGCTTTCACATAGAATAGGGTAGCAGCACATTGCTATGTACACCTAAGCTTGTTAATATAAAAATGAAGTTTTAAAAGCCTTCCCAATATATATATATATATATATATATATATATATATATATATATATATATATATATATGTCGTACCTAATAGCCAGAACGCACTTGTCAGCCTACTATGCAAGGCCCGATTTGCCTAATAAGCCAAGTTTTCCTGAATTAATATATTTTCTCTAATTTTTTTCTTATGAAGTGATGAAGCTACCCATTTCATTATGTATGATGTCAATTTTTTTTTATTGGAGTTAAAATTAACGTAGATATATGACCGAACCTAACTAACCCTACCTAGCCTAACCTAACCTATCTTTATAGGTTAGGTTGGGTTAGGTAGAAGAAAAAGTTAGGTTAGGTTAGGTTAGGTAGTCGAAAAACAATTAATTCATGAAAACTTGCCTTATTAGGCAAATCGGGCCTTGCATAGTAGGCTGAGAAGTGAGTTCTGGCTACTAGGTACGACATATATATATATATATATATATATATATATATATATATATATATATATATATATATATATATATATATATATATATATATATATATATATATATATGTCGTACCTAGTAGCCAGAACGCACTTCTCCGCCTACTATGCAAGGCCCGATTTGCCTAATAAGCCAAGTTTTCATGAATTAATTGTTTTTCGACTACCTAACCTACCTAACCTAACGTAACCTAACTTTTTCGGCTACCTAACCTAACCTAACCTATAAAGATAGGTTAGGTTAGGTTAGGTAGGGTTGGTTAGGTTCGGTCATATATCTATCTTAATTTTAACTCCAATAACAAAAATTGACCTCATACATAATGAAATGGGTAGCTTTATCATTTCATAAGAAAAAAATTAGAGAAAATATATTAATTCAGGAAAACTTGGCTTATTAGGCAAATCGGGCCTTGCATAGTAGGCCGAGTACGACGTTCTGGCTACTAGGTACAACATATATATATATATATATATATATATATATATATATATATATATATATATATATATATATATATATATATATATATATGTATTGTGCATATATAGGCATAGGTTAGTTTTTAGGTTTTGTTGGCGATTATTTGCATTTGTAGTACGTGGGTGAAGCATTTATAGCGATGTGGTTCGAACAAAACTCGTCAGTGAAGCACTTGTTCCGAAAGTGTTCGAACAAAATCAGTTGTGAGTCGTGTGTAAACCGCTTTTCATTCATAAACAGGGGGTTTGGCGGGTGGATGGAATCACTTTTGGATCTTTAATTGGAGGACGGGCTGTTTACAGCGTTGTGGTTCGAACAAAATTCGTCAGTGAAGCACTTGTTCCGGAAGTGTTCGAACGTCAGCAGTTGTGAGTCGTGTGAAAACCGTTTTTCATTCATAAACAGGGGATTTGGCAGGCGCATGGAATCACTTTTGGGTCTTTGTTTGAAGGACGGGCTGGGGATTCGAACCTAAAATTCTAGTTTGTGAATCGAGAACGAACCCGACTGTCCTGCTGGGACTACTATTTAACATCATGTTGCAAGTTTCACTCATTCTAAATAAGTAAATTCATGTTCTACTTTTATTGTGAATATTGAAGGCTATGTTGACGACCGCAGGACTAACAATACTGCAAACCAGACATGATGCGGATTATCTCACTGAAACCTTTAAAATACAAGACTATAAAATACTGAACAAGTTGGAAGAAATGAATCCAGATCACTTCTTTATAAGGTCAAATGTAACGCATCCAAGGGGGGGGGGCAGCAAATGCTTCATGCTCAACTAGCCACAATGAAGGAAAGAAAACAGATGTTTTTCACCCATACGTTTATAGAAAAAAAGTGGCACTGCCTACACGCTCAAGCTGTAAACGCTAAGACATTACTTCTATCTAAAATCCAACTGGATAACATCCTAAGGAACAATGAGGAAAATATTTTACAAGCCGCCGGCTCTCTGTCCCCATTGAAGCCTCAGTAAAGTGGTGGTCCTTAAATAATGAGAGGTAATGTAGGTAAAATTTGGATTGATAATGGTTATCCCTTAATTTCAAGTTTTCTATTATTACACGCGTTGAATGTTAGTAAGCATAACTAATGAAAAATAACAAATGCAGCCTAAACTTTTCAATTTATTTACCTGAGGGCCACTAACACTAGTGGCCTCTACGAGGACAGGAAGCTGGCGGCTTGTCAAAGGTCACCCAAAGTGCTCTGATGATCTTTTCCTAACTTTAAAATTTAAAAGTGTTTTTTTGGCATTTACGGATTCGGCTGGTAATCAGTTCCATGGGTTATGGGTCTTTAATTATGTCATCAGTCTTTTTCCCTGTTCTCCTCATTACTCCCATCCGTATCATTGATGGTGGTGCTTGGGTCATTTAGGTCCTTGCGACGATTATTGCAGGTTTAGCAGCGAAAAGGAAAAAACGCATTTGGCTTCGGTTTGCTCCTTGTACGCTTCGATAAATTTATCCGAGATTTTTATACACATACACACACACATGAGCCAGCACTCCACCCCTGCAAACACAACTAGGTGAATACACAGACGCTCTTGAGGGGCCTCGCGGCTGATTGGATAACGCCTGTGGGTCATTGTCCTAATGGCCCGGGTTCGATTCCCGGCGGAGGCGGAAACAAATGGGCAGAGTTTCTTTCACCTTGATGCCCCTTGGTCACCTAGCAGTAAATAGGTACCTGGGAGTTAGACAGCTGTTACGGGCTACTTCCTGTGTGTACTCACATAGTTGTGCTTGCGGGGATTGAGCTTTGGCTCTTTGGTCCCGTCTCTCAACCGTCAATCTACCGGTGAACAGATTCCTGAGTTTTTAAAGCTCTATCATATCTACGTTTGAAACTGTGTATGGAGTCCTAGTGCATTCCATTTACTAACTACTCTGACATTGAAAAAGTTCTTTCTAATGTCTTTGTGGCTCATTTAGGTACTAAGTTTCTACCTGTGTCCCCCTTGTGCATGTACTACCCGTGTTAAATAATCCATCTTAATCTACCCGGTCAATTCCCCTGAGAATTTTGTATGTAGTGATCATGTCTCCCCGGGCTTTTCTGTCAAGTTCAAGTTCAAGTATGATAATTGAGACAAGAAAAAAAAAAGACAGAAGGCTCTTCTGTCTTCCAGTGACGTGAGGTGCAGTTCCCTCAGCTTTTCCTCGTAACTCATGCCTCTTAGTTCTGGGACTAGTCTAGTGGCATACCTCTGAACTTTTTCCAGCTTCGTCTTGTGCTTGGCAAGGTACGGGCTCCATGCTGGGACCGCATATTACAGGATTGACCTTACATACGTGGTACACAAGGTTCTGAAAGATTCCTTACACAGGTTTCTGAAGGTAGTTCTGATGTTAGCCAGCCTCGCATACCTCGCCGATGTTATTCTTTTGATGTGGGCTTCAGAAGACAGGTTTGGCGTGATATCAACTCCTAGATTTTTCTCTGTCCGTTTCGTGAAGGACTTTATCTCCCTTTCGGTATCCAGTGTCTGGCCTATTTCCTCCCCCCCTCCCACCTTAGTTTCATTACCTTACATTTACTTGGGTTGAACTTTAGTAGTCATTTGTTTGATTACTGAAACAAAAACAAAAACACAGCCCCTTCAAATTTTTTGACATTTATTTATAGTTGTATTTTTTATGTTGTACATAAAATATTCAGTGCCTGGTCTTCTGTTTAAGTAGATTTTTGCCATGGTCGGGCAATTGATGTACTTACTCATATCCATGACCTTAAATTCTCTTAAGTCAGGTTGACCCCAGTCATTTTCCCAGTGGGCAGCTTCTATGCGACTCATAGAGCATTATTAAAGAAGCTGCTATAAATTCCTTGGTTACAATTACAACTTCTTTTGTTGCAGTAAGTAATATGTTACAAGTTGAAGATCAAAACACTTACAGTCACCTCGTCTCAAATATCGATAACATTTATCAAGTGTTGTCAGTTCTAGGGAAATCAACATATATTTATCGAGTTCTGATATCTAAGAGCATATCAGAACATGTAATGGGAAGAGCTTTACATTTCTGCCAAACACTGCACTCTACTTGTTACATACCAAACCACGTAACATATATGTTAGAGAGAGTTATCACAGCGATGATTGGAGAGCTTAACATTTCTCCCATACACCGCCTTCACTTGCTCTGTTCCAAACTGGCCGTAAATGAAGATACACTCAGCCGAGAAGCCAAGCGACCGTAGGGAGTGGAGGCAGGAGATGCTCATGGTCGGGCCCCCACACATCACAATCTGTCCAGGAGAAGCTTATTAACCATTGAAGAGAAGCATATTAACCATTGAAGAGAGAGAGAGTGCGGTGGGGGCTGGGCGGGAGAATCTAGATTAGAGAAACTATACATCTGCTATAAAGGCGGATTAGACTAATTTCAGTAACTCTATGACATTCAATTTTATTTACCCTGTGCCTTTTGTCAATGGCTAGAATCAAGGTGCTTCTACAGCAGCAAAGTCTGCAGGAAATACTGTACTTGGGTTTACTATAATTCACACATGTATAAAAAAAACAATGAATAAGTTTAAGTGATCGACAAAAACTCTTCAGAAGCATGATATGGGTTACCTTATGCCGCATGCCATTAGGCTTGGTGACATGCTTATCAATCATGTGTGTGTCTATGAAGCCTTCCTCTCCTTCCCAGTGCTCAGGGGCCTCCCCCAGTGTATACACCAGCTTCAGCCTCTCATCTCTCGCTGTTGATACACAAGATGCTTTACACTTTTCTGCTGAACTGAGGGAAGTGAACAGACTAAATGCTGTCAGAAAGAGTATATAAGCCTGATATTTAGGAGTTATCAGCCTGATATTTAGGAGTTATCAGCCTGATATTTAGGAGTTATCAGCCTGATATTTAGGAGTTATCAGCCTGATATTTAGGAGTTATCAGCCTGATATTTAGGAGTTATCAGCCTGATATTTAGGAGTTATCAGCCTGATATTTAGGAGTTATCAGCCTGATATTTAGGAGTTATCAGCCTGATATTTAGGAGTTATCAGCCTGATATTTAGGAGTTATCAGCCTGATATTTAGGAGTTATCAGCCTGATATTTAGGAGTTATCAGCCTGATATTTAGGAGTTATCAGCCTGATATTTAGGAGTTATCAGCCTGATATTTAGGAGTCATCAGCCTGATATTTAGGAGTCATCAGCCTGATATTTAGGAGTTATCAGCCTGATATTTAGGAGTTATCAGCCTGATATTTAGGAGTTATCAGCCTGATATTTAGGAGTTATCAGCCTGATATTTAGGAGTTATCAGCCTGATATTTAGGAGTTATCAGCCTGATATTTAGGAGTTATCAGCCTGATATTTAGGAGTTATCAGCCTGATATTTAGGAGTTATCAGCCTGATATTTAGGAGTCATCAGCCTGATATTTAGGAGTCATCAGCCTGATATTTAGGAGTTATCAGCCTGATATTTAGGAGTTATCAGCCTGATATTTAGGAGTTATCAGCCTGATATTTAGGAGTTATCAGCCTGATATTTAGGAGTTATCAACCTACTATTTAGGAGTTATCAGAATGAACAGCAAAGTGTTTAAAGTTGCGGGTATCTGGAAACATTAGATACGGCTTCCACACACAAGATGCTGGCAGTTTCTTCGAAAGAATGAAGAAATATACATAATTAACTGTTTGAAATCAAAATACAAATGTTATAAAATTAGGTTGGAATATTCGTATACTATATCATTACTATACAGTATATGGCCTATGTATTCTTATTCATAAAGTTATAACTTAGATTGATACAGAGTTTAATTCCCTTATAACAATACAGCTGTATTTCAAGTAATTTTAACTGCACTTGAACTGAAGCTACAATAAATTTGACTTGTACTGCTGAAGAGTTATGAATTTTATTAGTTTGCATTTATTTGTATACAAAAAAGTACATTCTGTTTTTACAGGTTATGACGATTAATTGGTATATTCTCTCGCAGCCATTATTACGCACCCAATACTGTGTTTCTAACAATTGAACATTGTCTTATTTACCTGCATACTGATCCAGTTCTTCACGATAGAGAATCTCATCACAGTTCTCAGAGAAGTATATAAGTTTAATGTTGGTATTATCAGTGGGGTCCCTGATGATGTAGCGGATGAGTTGCATGGCCGGGGTGACGCCGCCTCCACTTGCCAACAAAGTCAACTCATCCAGCCCATTTGTCTCGTATTCAAAGCCTCCACACGGACCTTGGAATTCCACCTTGTCCCCTGAAAATCATGATATTGACTTTTAGCTCTTCAGTTACTGAAAAACCTTCATCATGTTACATATGGTCGGGTTTAGCTAGAAATATTTTAAACTGTACATTACATATAAGGCTATATAATATTATACCGTACTGACTTCTAAAACCTTGTTTATTAGTCAGGCTTTAGCGTAAACAAATTAAATATGCAAAGCTAATATATCATCATGAAGTAATTATGAAACAGATGGTAAAAGTGCTCAAGGAAACTTAGACTACTTCATGCCTAATAAAACTAAATAGTGTCATACCTGGTTTCAGGGCTTGAAAATGGCGGGAAACGAGCCCCTGCGTCTCAAACCTGAGCACGAGGTCAATGTGACCGAAGTCATTGGGGCATGACACAGGGGAGAAATAGCGAAAATGTTCCTTCCCATTGATGTTGACTTTAACCTATGATAGAATAAAGTGACACGTTGATGTACGGCAAAAAATGGTTGATACAGGACCTTATGATATATATAGCATTTGTTCTTTTGCATCATCTCAGTATACAACAACGTAACAGTTACATAAATATGGCTGGGAAATAAATATTATAAATTTATGTATGAAGTACTATACTGTAGTTGAAATAACATAAGTTTTTTGACTTTCAATTTGCACATATAAATTAAAATTTTAAGCTGCAACTTAAACATATTATTTGCCAAAATGTACTACTATAATCACCAAAATATATACTTTCATAAACAAATGTATACACCATATGAATGGTAATGATATTAATTCAAAAGGATTATAACCCAGTGTTGGATTAAGGTTTACTCACCGCAACATACTGCCCTGCGAAACATCCCGTGTGGTCAGTAGTGTGAGGCAGAGAGAAGACGAAGGCGCCCATCTTCTCACTAACACGTGTGTGGGACTGAAGGCTGAGCAGCGTCCACGCTTCAGGCTTCAGCGCTGGCTCGTGACTCACCCCATCACTCGTCTCCAGGATCTAGAACGTCCAAACATGTAACTTGTCCCTCAAGACTGCATGCATCTAGGAGGAGGCCGCAGAGGCTTTATCCACTCAGCTGTGAGTAGTCTTAAACAGCTGTGAATAAGACTACGCCCAGCTGAGTGGGTAGAGCCTCAGCCTCCCACGCGTGGGGACCTTGGTTCGAGTCTCCTACAGCCCAGGTGAATGACATGTTTATTTCCAGGGAAGTGTGGATGACACTTTATTTAACCTTATTATTATCTGCAAAGGTTATCACCATTTTCATCAGCTATAGGAAGGCCACTGAGAAAGTTTAAGTTTTACAATTAACTGCAGGTAGTTATATAGTTATAGGTAGTTATATAACACTGGACTCCATCGTAATATGGGTTCAGTGTTAAAGTGGTCTACGTTTCCGACTAACAATCGAGTGTCCTTTCTTTGATTCCCCTGACAAAATAGGCACCCTTTTTGTCAGATACATAACTGGTATTGAAAGGTTCACCACCTCTGTTACCAAATACGCCAGGGGGCTTTAAAATGGTTATATGAACTTGCACAATGAAATTACAACTACAAGTAAGAGATATATCTAAGAAGAAATACTGAAGCCGTACATTGGGATCGAACCCCAATCTCTGGACTCCTCAAGCACACACACTACCGGTAGTGTATGTGTCTTAGGAGTCCAGAGACGCATGTTCGATCCTATTACACAGCTTCAGGATTTTCTCTTGCCGAGAGAAAGGCATACACATACATACACACATGCAAGTGTTCTGACCTCGGCATTAACTGCAGGAGGACAGGTATTGAAAGGATTTTCAAAGTCAGTTTCCTGGAAGACATGTTTGTCCTCTGCTCCCTTCTCCTCCGCCTCGACGTCCTCCAGAAGACTCTTGGCCAGCTTCCTCTTCTCTTCCAGACTCATCTTCTTCAGTTCATGGTGAATGATCCGCTCGTTGGGATGCTGCTCCCTGGTGGCAGGAAGTTATATTTGTATACAAATGTTTACTTTTTCTCACGACTTGTATTCCATAATGCATTTTGAATGGTTGAGCTTTCAGTGTATGTTATCGTATTATATTAGTTTATGTATTTTAAATAGTTTTTGTTATGTTGTACAATTTAGCTTCTGTTTCTACAAATGTTTCACATTAAGAACAAAGATGTTAAGGATGAAGTATTATCATGCACGGATCAGACCTTAATATTTGACTGTAGCATCTCCCTCACTTTGTGCTTATATTCTCACTTAAGTTTTATTTGACTTTCTTGTCTTAGCTATTTCTTCCCACCCACCATCCCCTCCGCCACTCTCCACTCCCCCCCCTTCCTTGCTCCCCACCCCTCCCTTGCTCCCAACCCCCTTCCCCTGCCCTCCACGCCCTCCCCTAGTCTCCACCACCCTCCCCTATCTGCCCTTCACACGTAACAGTTGAATGATTAACAGTTGAGAGGCGAGCCGAAAGAGCAGAGCTCAACCCCCACAAGAACAACTAGGTGAATACACGTATGCTCCCCAACAAAGTTATTATTATTACACAGTAATATTGTTAATGAAGCTAAACCAGTCACCACAATATAGACAGCAGGAATATCCCTGAATACATACACATCTGATATTGCAAACAAAAATAAAAATAAATTAGCACTAACCAAAAATCAAAGGAGTTTGGGCCCAAGAGGACACTCTTGCCAAGGAACTGCCTGAGCACCTCGTTAGAGGGTCCCATCACCCAGCCAGCCTTGCCGTCTCGCAAGAGGCGCTCCAAACCCAACTCAATCTGCGTGGAATTAGAAACTTGATTTGTAACAACTTATACAAATCATTATGATAATGGATGGACTAAACAGTTGTACAGACTTACATTTTATAGCATTAATTAAATATAAAAATAATTATCTTACATTCTGAATATACATAGTGAGTGTATATTAGTCAAACAATTTCAGCATAGACGCAACCAATAAGCTTATGTTGACCAGACCACACACTAGAAAGTGAAGGGACGACGACGTTTCGGTCCGTCCTGGACCATTCTCAATCGACTTAAGAATGGTCCAGGACGGACCGAAACGTCGTCGTCCCTTCACTTTCTAGTGTGTGGTCTGGTCAACATATTTCAGCCACGTTATTATGACTCATCGTCTGCATACAGTAAGCTTATGTTATTGTTTCCAGGATCTCACAGGGACGTTGATAATCTTAAGTACAAGCGTCCTGTTTTGAACACCGGGAATTATAAAATACGTGGCAGGCAGGTAAGTCACCTTATATCCTGTGCCACCACAGGCAAACAGCATCTTGTCAGACACACTGGCCACGTTCTTGGCAGCAATAAACTTGACCTGCCAAAGCCACTGTAGGTATTCTGTCCTGCAATGTAACACAACAAGCGCCAGTTAGTCATTGTTTACGTGTCTGATTATATGTGATGTGCACAGATATTATTTCTGCTAAATGGTTACGGCATAACTGTTTGTCATTCTTCTGCAGTGTAGTCTACTGAGCACCTAGCCCACTGAGCACCTAGTCCACTGAGCTCCTAATTAATTAAGCTCCTAGCCACTGAAATCCTAGTTCATTAAGATCCTAGCCACTAAGCTCCTAGGCCACTGAGCACTAGTCCGCTAAGCTCTTCAGATGGGCAAGTGAGCAAAACCACTTCTGCTGTCTCCTCTATTTTAATGTTCTTAACCGTGACTTTTCATAAAATATCCTATATACAAATCTGCTAGGTGTAATTATTGACTTTTAATTTAAAACTAACATAATATCCAGAATAGCTTTGCTCACTTAGAACTAGAAGACTGTAACATATACAACTGAGTGAGAGGAAAGACTGTGAATCATTGTGGGTGACTCAGGTGACCTTGGAGCAAATTGGAGGTCAACGTGGAGTGACCAGTCGTTGTTGTGGCTCCTGGTGTCCATGGCTTGGGCCACGAGGAAGGTCAGTGCCCGGGACGAGTTGGTGTCGCTTATGCATTCACCAAAGTAGTCCTGAAAGATGCAAGTCATTTATTATATGTGAGATTGATTTATTATGTGAGATACACGGTGATCTCAGTCTGACGAATGCTAAGGAGCAGTTAAACACTGTTGAGTGATTTATTAACATACAAAGATGCAGATAAAATATGTTTGTAGAGATTTGGCTGCCACCTACACCCTGAATATAATTTTCTATACCTTAATATACTTTCTTAATTTTGTATATTGTGAATTAGTATTAAGATGCAAAGTTCCAAAAGGTGATTTTTGTATCAATAACGATGAATGGATTGTGAATGGAGACGAGGGCCTACATTCACACTGGGCGTGCCAGTAAGCCTAATCAACATTTCGTGATGCAGACCAGTGGCACAATCCCTCACCTCACCTGTATAGTGGGGTAGTCACCTACTACCACCCCTCACCTGTATAGTGGGGTAGTCACCTACTACCACCCCTCACCTGTATAGTGGGGTAGTCACCTACTACCACCCCTCACCTGTATAGTGGGGTAGTCACCTACTACCATCCCCTCACCTGTATAGTGGGGTAGTCACCTACTACCACCCCTCACCTGTATAGTGGGGTAGTCACCTACTACCACCCCTCACCTGTATAGTGGGGTAGTCACCTACTACCATCCCCTCACCTGTATAGTGGGGTAGTCACCTACTACCACCCCTCACCTGTATAGTGGGGTAGTCACCTACTACCATCCCCTCACCTGTATAGTGGGGTAGTCACCTACTACCATCCCTCACCTGTATAGTGGGGTAGTCACCTACTACCATCCCTCACCTGTATAGTGGGGTAGTCACCTACTACCATCCCTCACCTGTATAGTGGGGTAGTCACCTACTACCACCCCTCACCTGTATAGTGGGGTAGTCACCTACTACCATCCCCTCACCTGTATAGTGGGGTAGTCACCTACTACCATCCCCTCACCTGTATAGTGGGGTAGTCACCTACTACCATCCCCTCACCTGTATAGTGGGGTAGTCACCTACTACCACCCCTCACCTGTATAGTGGGGTAGTCACCTACTACCACCCCTCACCTGTATAGTGGGGTAGTCACCTACTACCATCCCCTCACTTGTATAGTGGGGTAGTCACCTACTACCATCCCCTCACCTGTATTATGGGGTAGTCACCTACTACCATCCCCTCACCTGTATAGTGGGGTAGTCACCTACTACCACCCCTCACCTGTATAGTGGGGTAGTCACCTACTACCACCCCTCACCTGTATAGTGGGGTAGTCACCTACTACCATCCCTCACCTGTATAGTGGGGTAGTCACCTACTACCATCCCTCACCTGTATAGTGGGGTAGTCACTCACTACCACCCCTCACCTGTATAGTGGGGTAGTCACCCACTACCACCCCCTCACCTGTATAGTGTGGTAGTCACTCACTACCACCCCTCACCTGTATTGTGGGGTAGTCACACACTCGCATCCCCACATCAGCGTGAGCCTTGCGAGTAACGTGCTTCCTGGCCACATCCATGCATGCTAGGGAGATACCGTTCCACACAGCGGCTGAGCACAGCAGGAAATAGGGATCAACAGTCTCGTCGTTGCTCTGTGGAAAAAGTCAGTTTGTAACGGTGGAAGACCGAATCGAATTTGAAGCACCATTGTAGCCTAATTATTTTGAAGAATTAAGTTTCAGATTTTTCTTGATGAATTTGTGTGTATTTACTATTTGTGTCTGCAGGATCGAGCTATTAACTCTTGCACACAATACACACACTAGTGTGTGTGTTTTTGCAAAACTTCTATATTTCCATATCTAGATGTTAGTGGATTGAAAATTATTTTATGCTTATATTCGTACAAAACGACCATCACCAGGCGGGCCGATCATCCTATCCAAGTTAAACTTGCCCTCGACCACCAGAGGGCCGGACATGTTGCCGTGCATTCCCAGCGCCCGCCAGTCGTCCGTGCTGGCCCGCACTTCATCCTGCAGATACAAGAGTACAGTTAGTCTACTTGCCTTACACTACATTCTCAGTATCCATAAGTTATCTTCCGTTATAGTTCCTGATATGCCTGATTAGCGGCCCTATACAAAATAATGTAATTATTTACCATGAATTTGTACAATATTATTAATATGGCCCGGAGGACTAGTTTATTGGGCTCGGAGGACTAGTTTATTGGGCAGCGTCACTTATCCTGTGAGTGACTACCACACCATACCATGTACAGCACCTCCCAATAGCGAGGAAATGTAACCAATTTACACACACACATATATATAGGTTCTTATAAATGAAGACTCGGCCACTCGCCTTGAAGACAAGGAAGCAGGAGAGGTTGGAGTAGTCACCGCCGTAGTTGGGACTGACCGTCTGGATGGTGTACCAGTCAGCGTGGCCGGCACTCGTGGCCCAAGACCCAAACTTGAGGAGCTGGATTGTCTCCTCATCAAGACACTTCACCTTGGAGGACATAGGATACCAGATGTGTCCACCTGAGCCAACACAAAATAATAATAATGAGCTTAACAAAAAATTTTAACGACTTTCTGGGTGAAATACTTCCTGTGTATTCATCAAGGCAACATTGGGGGCTAGAAGTTGTAGCATCTTGGCTGTGTGGTATTAGGTCTATTGTATTTTAACAAGATTACTGAGATGTAAAAGTTTTATCCTGTATGGTAAAGGCTTATGTGAAAACTGCCGTCAATTAATAATTTTTAACAATTATTTGTCGGAAGCCTCTGTTAATTTGTGTGTCCTGGCATTCCACCTTTATTAGTTTAATTTGTTTATTTTTCCTCGTAGGGCTAGTGTATTTGGCAGCTAGTGAAGCAATATCCTGTACATGCAGAGTCCATATTTTTAATGAAGTGGAGCTCGATTATTATTGTATTTTCCTTGTATTAAAATGTGTGGTTGATTGCTAGTTTTGTTGGCAATAGTTTACAGGGTCTCTGCGTGTTAGTAGCGTTATGTAACTTACATGATGTACCTACGGACACTACACTGTATTATATTTCAAATATACTTGATATAAGTAAAAAAAATACTATTATTTAATGAATTTCTCCTCCCAAAGTGAAGGTCATGGTGAGAGGGAGGGGGGGGGGAATGTGACCCCTCGCCCACAGACCACATTAAAACACTCAACTAATTCACTGTCAACTGTCTAGCAGCGCAGCCTGCCCACACCAAATACTCGTACCCTGTACGAGTTGACCACTCGTCGTACCCTGTACGAATGGTCAACACGTGCACCTCACTGAAAGAAGTTGTGGAGGCCACTTGCAACTACACCTTCTAGGCCAAATTCGACAAATATTTCGAACATCAGAAGAGTTAAATTATAACGGAACAGGCACATCAAGGCTAATTGGCCGAGCATAAAGGAGCTAGACCATATTCCCCACACTGATAGATAAACATTGATAAGTACATCAGCTTTCAACACAACAACCTAACTCTCAGTGATGAATACTTCAGTACACAGGGCCTCAATGTCCACAGTCAAGTGGACTGGCAACACCCTCCCGTCGTCCACCCAGTCTTCACAAGTCTGCCGTACCCAGCTATCCTAACACTAGTGACTCACAAGATAAAATTAATCCAAACACAACAGTTAAATTTTAAATTTTAAATTTTGCCCCGAGGGGCGAGTTTATTGTGCAGCGCCACTCATCTTGTCAGTGAACATACCGCCATAGCAGAATGTACAACACTCCCCAATAGGAAGAAAACCACACAACAGTCCTAACTTAAACTATTGCTTAGTCATCTTGAACAAATTATCCCTCCACCGCTACAGAGAAAAAACAAACGAACATAAACTTGCTACCCTCAAAATCTCAACGCTAAACACATGAGAGCCATTTATTTATTCACGAAAACTTAGAGAACAACAAAAGTTATAACAGAGTCTACCCTTGCAGCCACTCAAAGAAAATGAAAAGTCTGACCAAGCAGCTGGAGCGAGTGCCAGAGATGCAGTCAACATGAAGTCATTTGCAGTCAAAACATCATAAATCAGAACCAAGTGTTCGCGTTCTTTGCGCGAGATAATGCTCGAGCTAAGACACTACACACATTAAGACACTACAGATGTGCTACACACTAAGGGGAGCATGACATCAGCGTGACACGACATTCCAAGCCGTACTCTCACCTAATGCGTCGTCTGTTTTACAGAATCGACTAGTTTACTTTAGCTCATTTATTGTGCACCCCATACCTATCCTGTAGGCGGCACCGGAAAGGGTTACAGAGGTACATAATGGGCTCAGGGACTGAATCCCAAAATTTCATTTAGTTAAGCAAGTTACAGTCTTGATGAGCTAGTCAACACATTTAATGTATATTGTTACATCAATAATGGGTTCCAGACTGAACACAACTACAGTCTTCAAGCTAATCAACTGACATATGTGGAGAGCTAGTGTCATAACTAGCACACCGCCCCCCCCCCCCTCCACAGCCAGTGGGCAGTGGTGGAAAGATAAGATAAGGAAGGAGACTCACCAGTAGCAGGATCAGAGTAGGAGAGAGTACCGACCATCTTGTCCTTATCCAGACGAGACAGAAGAGCTTGAACGCGGTGATTGTCGTGGTACCGCAGCAGGAGGGCGGTAACAGCACTTAGATGCATGGCTAAAGGATGAAAATAATAATGTTAGTTTCGGATACACAGAAAATGCCCCAAAAGTATTTTTGTACACATAGGCCCACGCGATGGGTATGGGGCGCATAATAAATGAACAAAATCGAACAAATCAGGTTATAGAAATACAAAAATATTACAATTAAAGTATTCCTTAAAATTTAAATGAATAGCAAGAGTAATACGTAATATGCATCATTACAGGCGAAGTAGTTGTGGAAGGTAGTGTGGGGGTGTGTAGATGACACTACTCAAGGGGTTACTTAAGGGGTTACTTAACACTATACACAAGGGGTTCTTAACCAAGGGCATCCTATCCCTTAAGGGCATGGGACTCGATCTCTCAACAGATTAAAGAAGTTGTAGGATTAGAATTAACTTTTACTTTTATCAAAGAAGATAGAAGTCGTTTTGTTTCTAGCTATCTATATGTAAAGTAAAACTAAGCTATTGGCATCTTTTGAAGTCATCCTGATACCTAATATTGGTGATGATTTTGACAGTCTGGCAAAGGGTATATATAAAGGTATATTGGATATATTGGAGGATCTGTAACAGTGAAAAGGTTAAGAATGCTTGAAACTATATACCATATAGTATAGTATATAGTGTCTTCTTGGCATTTGCCTTTCCATTGGATAATTTCAGCAACGTGGAGAGGGAGGGGGGGGGGGGGACCTGCTGCATGGGTAACAGCTTCTCCTCCATATCCACCTACCCAGCCTTTGCGCCCTGGAGACCAGAGCACAACTCCATAGTCCGCAGAGACTGAAGGATGCCTACTGCACCTATCCTGTCTTCTATGGTCATTCACCTGTAGGAATGTACTGTTATCTATAATCTAGAGTGTTATCCGTATTATAGATGACACAAGACTGCCTTGCGGCCATACCCCTTTTTTGGGAAAGGCTTCAGGAGTCAACCTCGAGGAAAAATCCGGAGTTGGAGCCCCTAAGGCAGTTCGTTGTTGACGTCGACCTCGTTCTGGCAGCTCCTGCGACGTTGCTGGAACCATGTGTATTGGCAGTTGCCTTTCTATTGGATAATTTCAGCAACGTGGAGAGGGGGGGGGACCTGCTGCATGGGTAACAGCTTCTCCTCCATATCTACCTACCCAGGCTAAGCTCAACTCCATAGTCTATCGAGGCTGAAGGATGCCTACTACTAGATGACATAAGAGACCCTGAGGGTATGTGACTTACTATAGACCATAGCGGTGGAGGGACAGCCATAGCGAGCTATGGTCTCACAGACCATAGCTGAACACACGTGGTTCTCCCCCTGTCCACCCAGCTCCCGGGGCACTATAAGGCTCAGGAGCCCCAGCTCCGCCAGGGCGTCCAAGGAAGCTCTTGGGAACACATAGTCTCGGTCACACTGGATCTGTTGTGGAGATGTCAGCCACATGTTTACTTCATTTATTATGCATTTACATTCCTTTAGCTAATTAAGTTACGGTCTTGATAAGATAGTTGCATAATTTAATGTATCAACAATGGGTTCGAGATCGAGCACAAGTACAGTCTCTAAGCTAAGTATGCTTAGAGACTGTACTTGTTTGTCTTATAGTTTGCATGCTGAATTGCATAAGAGGCCAGGTGTGTATGGTACCTTGCACATGTGGCGGGTGTATGATGACTTGAACATAAGTCAGATGTGTTTATGATGACTTTTACACGTGGCAAGTGTGTAAACGTGGCAGGTGTACAATGACTTGTACACGTGACAGGTGTATAATAACTTGTACACTTGGCAGGTGTATAATGACACAAACACACATGTAAACACAGCACTTGGAATGCTCATTGTATTGAAACATTACGCCTAATCTCGGCAACACCTATTGTAATCTAGAAAATAATATATACATGATATACTCAACCACTTGATGCATAAATGAAATTTTGTGTGTTAAATCTTACATTAAATACAAACAGAGGTATATCTATCTATCTATCTATATATATATATATATATATATATATATATATATATATATATATATATATATATATATATATATATATATATATATATATATATATATATATATATATAATAGGGAAATTGGATATATTAGAGTGTGCAACACAATAACTTACTGCATTTGGTCTGATCTTAACCCTGCAGAGCTCGAGGAGTTGCTCCTGTATCTCCTTCTGCCTCTCCGTCAGCAGCCAGCCCGGGTCGTGCTCGGACCCCAGCCCCCAGTACTCCCCGCGACCCCATTTCTTCATCTGCTGTAATAACGAAATGTTAACTCCATTAATAATTTACCTGAGGGGGCCACTAACACTCTAGTGTCCGAGGACAGGAAGCCGGAGGCTTGTCAGAGGTCCGCCTCCCATTAGTTCTGATATTTTTTGTTCAAACTAGATTTTAAAGTTCAATATAGTTTTGGCATTTTCGGCTTCGGCGGGTAGGCGGTTTCATGGGTTAATGACCCTGCTAGAGGATCTGTTTTCAGTTCAGCTTTGTGGCTTGTTGAGCGTGAAACTGTTGCTCCTTGTTTGCGCCACATCTGACCTTTTGAGAAAGTTGTCTGGGTCAACAGCCTCTAATCTGATCAGTATTTTAAAAGCTTCGACGAGATCAGCCTTGTCATGTCTGGTTTGCACTGTTGTTGGTCCTGTGGCCCTCAAACGCTCCTGGTATGAGAGCTGATTTAGTTCAAGAATGATTTTTGTTCCCCGGTGTTGAAGTGTTTTAACTTTCTCCAATGAAGCCAAGTGTTTCTGAAGATGAGGACTTCATGCCTCGATACAATAATCCAGAGATTAATACAGTTGAATAACTACCTTGTACAGGCGATGAGTCACAATAACGTGGCTAAAGTATGTTGACCAGACCACACACTAGAAGGTGAAGGGACGACGACGTTTCGGTCCGTCCTGGACCATTCTCAAGTCGATTGTGGAGAAGGAATAACTTCCTTCTTTTCCTTAAAGCCAAAAGTAAGCTTGGTTATTCCCATAGTTTGATTAGTATTTTTAATTGCCGCTTCCACTTGTTGTGCAACTTGTAGTGGATGATAGATTCTGACTCTAAGGTTCTTTTCTTCATCAATCTGCTGCAAGATAATGGTGTTAATTTGGTAATTCATAATAAAGGTACTCAACTGATATGTAGTCAAGATGACATGCAAAGATGTACTTTCTGGGGGTGGGGGGGGGAAGAGATAATATATATTTATGTTCCGAGCAACAAAGATAGTGAGAGGCGGAGAGAGGGAGGCAAGGAGACAAAGTTTATCTAACAGTGACTACGAGGGATTGAGGTCTAACTCTTTATGTCCCGCCTTCTATTATAGTTGTATTTGTTGTGCTATAATTTAAATTCTAAAATGTATAAGTTATAATATAAATTATTGAATTCGAATTATTTGTTGAAACTAGACACAAAGTAATGGACGCAGGTGGCTTCTACAACTTCCACTTTGTTTTGTTTTTGTCCTACCTTATCTACATGTAAATGGTTGTCCTGTTCTCTTCCAATCAGTATCTTGTATGTTGTGATTACATCCCCTCTGTTTCTGCCCTCCTCTAGTGTTGTGACATTTAGTTCCTTAACTTAACCTTGCAGCTCAGTCTTAGATCTAACACTATTCCTTTGACTTTAACAGTTTTGAGCTTCACAAAATGCGGATCCAAGGCCGGAGCTGCATATTCCAGTATTGGTCTGATGTAGGTTGCGTATATTGGCTTAATTCTTAATTAGGGTAGTGAAGATATAAGAGGGAGGGGGGAGGGGACAAGTACCTTAGAAGGACCACCATCATGGGGCTCACACGGCCACCATATCTCACACACAGACACACACACACACACACACACACACACACACACACACACACACACACACACACACACACACACACACACACACACACACACACACACACGTAACTAACACAGTTACACCAACAACAGTTCATGCTCGAGCAGAGACAAATTATGTAGTAATTTGGTGCCACTATGGAGATGGTGCCACTATGGAGATGGTGCCACTATGAAGATGGTGGCACTATGGAGATGGTGCCACTATGGAGATGGTGCCACTATGAAGATGGTGCCACTATGAAGATGGTGCCACTATGAAGATGGTGCCACTATGAAGATGGTGGCACTATGAAGATGGTGCCACTATGGAGATGGTGCCACTATGGAGATGGTGCCACTATGGAGATGGTGCCACTATGAAGATGGTGGCACTGTGGAGATGGTGCCACTATGAAGATGGTGCCACTGTGGAGATGGTGCCACTATGAAGATGGTGCCACTATGAAGATGGTGCCACTATGAAGCTGGTGCCACTATGAAGATGGTGCCACTATGAAGATGGTGCCACTATGGAGATGGTGCCACTATGGAGATGGTGCCACTATGGAGATGGTGCCACTATGGAGATGGTGGCACTGTGGAGATGGTGCCACTATGAAGATGGTGCCACTGTGGAGATGGTGCCACTATGAAGATGGTGCCACTATGAAGATGGTGCCACTGTGGAGATGGTGCCACTATGAAGATGGTGCCACTATGAAGATGGTGCCACTATGAAGATGGTGCCACTGTGGAGATGGTGCCACTATGAAGATGGTGCCACTATGAAGATGGTGCCACTGTGGAGATTGTGCCACTGTAAAGATGGTGACACTAAATAGATGGTGACTATGAAGATGGTGACCGTGGTGGTGGTTATGGTGAGTCACTGTAATGGTTTACGCTCAGTACCACAACTACAGAAGCATTAGTCTACAGTGTAATGGGTAAAGTATTTATGGGGAGTCTACCCATTAATCAACCCATGGACTCTTTCACTAACCAAAATCTTTTTTGTACTATTGGTGTTTCAAAGAGCATCAAAATAATGTAACAACTCAATTTTAAGTCCTATAAGGCCTATTATAAGATGTCATAGGCCTAACATAAGCAATCCTATGCCTGATATACGTTATATAGATTGCAATGTAGTACAAATATGTACTATACAAGGACTAGAATAGCTGTCAGTTAATGGCTAAGGAAATATTAACAAATTTTCATAATCTATTCCTCTGTCTTCTCAAGATCAAACTGGGGTTATCTTGAGATGATTTCGGGGCTTTAGTGTCCCCGCGGCCCGGTCCTCGACCAGGCCTCCACCCCCAGGAAGCAGCCCGTGACAGCTGACTAACACCCAGGTACCTATTTACTGCTAAGTAACAGGACCATCAGAGGTGAAAGATGTCCATTGTTTCTCGCCGGCGCCCGGGATCAAACCCGAAACCACAGATCACAAAATAAACTTCAAAATCGGTACCGGAGTGCTGGCAGAGACGAGGCTTACCACATCAGCCATGGTGGAGAGATAGCCAGAGATGCTGGGATGAGGGACGCTATGGCGGTGGCGCCTGGCAGCCGACTGAAGGACTCAGTACCACAAACTGGAGTAGTACGCCCTTAAACCCGCGCCAAAACCCACCAAGTCGCTACCAAAACGTTCGAACGCGGTGTTATTAACACCTCCCGTCACCGGTTGTAACAACCAATATAGCAGGTTGTAAACGACGTTCTAATACGTCATAAAAATATATAACAAGATGTATCGACTTTATTAAAAGATTTAACAGGCGGAAAATAGGGACAGTTAGGTCGCGTCTTTTGCAAGGTTATTACTGCATGGAGACGTTGGGGGGAGGGGGGGGAGGGGAGAGGGGTGAGGGGTGAGGGGTGAGGGGGGGGAGAAGGGGAGAGCGGCGGAAAGATGAGGTGTGGCAAGTGATAAATGGAAGGAGGAGGAAGCAACAGAAAGTGGTATGAATCTATTATATATCCCATACTAATCCTGTGAGCGGTAGTGGGTCCCATATTAATCCTGTGAGTGGTAGTGGGCCCCATACTAACCCTGTGAGCGGTAGTGGGCCCCATACTAACCCTGTGAGTGGTAGTGGGCCCCATACTAATCCTGTGAGCGGTAGTGGGCCCCATACTAACCCTGTGAGTGGTAGTGGGCCCCATACTAATCCTGTGAGCGGTAGTGGGCCCCCATACTAATCCTGTGAGTGGTAGTGGGCCCCCTACTAATCCTGTGAGTGGTAGTGGGCCCCATACTAATCCTGTGAGTGGTAGTGGGCCCCCTACTAATCCTGTGAGTGGTAGTGGGCCCCCTACTAATCCTGTGAGTGGTAGTGGGCCCCATACTAATCCTGTGAGTGGTAGTGGGCCCCCTACTAATCCTGTGAGTGGTAGTGGGCCCCATACTAATCCTGTGAGTGGTAGTGGGCCCCCTACTAATCCTGTGAGTGGTAGTGGGCCCCATAATAATCCTGTGAGTGGTAGTGGGCCCCCTACTAATCCTGTGAGTGGTAGTGGGCCCCATACTAATCCTGTGAGTGGTAGTGGGCCCGCTACTAATCCTGTGAGTGGTAGTGGGCCCCATACTAATCCTGTGAGTGGTAGTGGGCCCCATACTAATCCTGTGAGTGGTAGTGGGCCCCCTACTAATCCTGTGAGTGGTAGTGGGCCCCATACTAATCCTGTGAGTGGTAGTGGGCCCCTACTAATCCTGTGAGTGGTAGTGGGCCCCATATTAATCCTGTGAGTGGTAGTGGGCCACATACTAATCCTGTGAGTGGTAGTGGGCCCCCTACTAATCCTGTGAGTGGTAGTGGGCCCCATATTAATCCTGTGAGTGGTAGTGGGCCACATACTAATCCTGTGAGTGGTAGTGGGCCACATACTAATCCTGTGAGTGGTAGTGGGCCCCCTACTAATCCTGTGAGTGGTAGTGGGCCCCATACTAATCCTGTGAGTGGTAGTGGGCCCCCTACTAATCCTGTGAGTGGTAGTGGGCCCCATACTAATCCTGTGAGTGGTAGTGGGCCCCCTACTAATCCTGTGAGTGGTAGTGGGCCCCATACTAATCCTGTGAGTGGTAGTGGGCCCCCTACTAATCCTGTGAGTGGTAGTGGGCCCCATATTAATCCTGTGAGTGGTAGTGGGCCACATACTAATCCTGTGAGTGGTAGTGGGCCCCATACTAATCCTGTGAGTGGTAGTGGGCCACATACTAATCCTGTGAGTGGTAGTGGGCCCCCTACTAATCCTGTGAGTGGTAGTGGGCCCCATATTAATCCTGTGAGTGGTAGTGGGCCACATACTAATCCTGTGAGTGGTAGTGGGCCACATACTAATCCTGTGAGTGGTAGTGGGCCACATACTAATCCTGTGAGTGGTAGTGGGCCACATACTAATCCTGTGAGTGGTAGTTGGCCCCATACTAATCCTATGAGCGGTAGTGGGCCCCATACTAATCCTGTGAGCGGTAGTGGGTCCCCCTACTAATCCTGTGAGTGGTAGTGGGTCCCCCTAGTAATCCTGTGAGCGGTAGTGGGTCCCCCTACTAATCCTGTGAGTGGTAGTTGGTCCCATACTAATCCTGTGAGCGGTAGTGGGTCCCATACTAATCCTGTGAGCGGTAGTGGGCCCCATACTAATCCTGTGAGCGGTAGTGGGCCCCATACTAATCCTGTGAGCGGTAGTGGGCCCCATACTAATCCTGTGAGTAGTAGTGGGCCCCATACTAATCCTGTGAGTGGTAGTGGGCTCCTCCAATACACCCTCGCCCATCTCTCTACATTCCATCCCTGTTGAGCCTTACTTCTTATTCCCCTCCCTAGAGGCTGCACCATCTTGAGACCCACTTGATCACTGCCTCTCTGTCTCGTATTCCTCGACCCCTTCCTCCTCTCCCTCTGCCTCCTCTCCTTCTCTCCATTCTTCCCTCACAGCCGATCACAGTATTCCCAGCCACTAATGACATGTAACTGATGAGGCTGCTTGTCGCAGTTGACTGAGGAATAATGATTGCGACGTAGAGATTCTGGTGATTATAATGAGGACGATAGTGCGAGGGGTACGGGGAGTCGTCCGCCTGGCACCATACACTACGGAGAGTGCCACGGTGGCAGTATGGTGTTGTGCCAGTTCGGGACTAGCTTTATATAAGTCTACAGTCATATAAATTACAGGGGCCTGGTGGCTGTGTGGACAGCGCTCGGGAATTGTAGTCCTAGGGACCGGGGATCGATCCCCGGCGATGGCAGAAACAAATGGGCGGAGTTCCTTTCACCCTGACGCTCCTTTTTTTACCTAGAAGTAAATAGGTACCTGGGAGTTAGACAGCTGCTACAAGCTGCTTCCTCAGGGTGTGTGAGGGGGAAAATTGATTGAAAGTTGAGAGGCGGGCCGAAAGAGCCAGAGCTCAACACCCGCAAGCACAATTAGGTGAATACGAAGCCATTAGGTTCTGAAGCCAACATGCTGACACAAGTTCTTTTACGATCATAACTTTTGTATACCGTAAAAAAACTTATTTAATTTCTAGTATAAATTTTGGGTTATGTCAATACAAGTTTTGAATATAATTTATTATTTACAGTTAAGCATTGCGTCTCCACCAATGACAGCGTCGGGCGCTGGGAGCGTCTCCACCAATGACAGCGTCGGGCGCTGGGAGCGTCTCCACCAATGACAGCGTCGGGCGCTGGGAGCGTCTCCACCAATGACAGCGTCGGGCGCTGGGAGCGTCTCCACCAATGACAGCGTCGGGCGCTGGGAGCGTCTCCACCAATGACAGCGTCGGGCGCTGGGAGTGTCTCCACCAATGACAGCGTCGGGCGCTGGGAGTGTCTCCACCAATGACAGCGTCGGGCGCTGGGAGTGTCTCCACCAATGACAGCGTCGGGCGCTGGGAGCGTCTCCACCAATGACAGCGTCGGGCGCTGGGAGTGTCTCCACCTATGACAGCGTCGGGCGCTGGGAGTGTCTCCACCAATGACAGTGTCGGGCGCTGGGAACGTCTAGCTCCGAAAGACACGAGCAAGAATAAAGAATAAGACACACCTACGAACACAAATAAGACACGAGAATAAATAAGAGGACACATGCACGAATAAAGAATAATTGAAGAACCGCGTCTCTACCAGTATTCCTGAGGCAGGGCGAAGGCTTAGGCTGTGTAAATGATAAGATTAAAAACTGTCGGTGGGCGTCGCCTTTGGCTGCATCTTACGATGGAGGTGTCGTTACAGGCGGAGGTCGGGGGCCTCATTAATGTGTAATGAACGACGTGATCCCGGCCTAAGATCTCATTACTGCTTTCACCACAATAAACATCACAGGATTCCTTCCTGGTCTTACACGTCCAACCTTAATGGTATGGAAAAACGCTCGCTTACAAGAAAAACAATTTGGTAGCAATGTTCTACAAGTTGGTTAGTTTCGTGCCGTAGAGGGTAGAAGACTGGTGGTGGGGCTGGGTATGTGATGACTGGTGGTGGGGGCTGGGTATGTGATGACTGGTGGTGGGGGCTGGGTATGTGATGACTGGTGGTGGGGGCTGGGTATGTGATGACTGGTGGTGGGGGCTGGGTATGTGATGACTGGTGGTGGGGCTGGGTATGTGATGACTGGTGGTGGGGGCTGGGTATGTGATGACTGGTGGTGGGGGCTGGGTATGTGATGACTGGTGGTGGGGCTGGGTATGTGATGACTGGTGGTGGGGGCTGGGTATGTGATGACTGGTGGTGGGGCTGGGTATGTGATGACTGGTGGTGGGGGCTGGGTATGTGATGACTGGTGGTGGTGGGGGCTGGGTATGTGATGACTGGTGGTGGTGGGGGCTGGGTACGTGATGACTGGTGGTGGGGGCTGGGTATGTGATGACTGGTGGTGGTGGGGGCTGGGTACGTGATGACTGGTTGTGGGGCTGGGTATGTGATGACTGGTGGTGGTGGGGGCTGGGTATGTGATGACTGGTGGTGGGGCTGGGTATGTGATGACTGGTGGTGGTGGGGGCTGGGTACGTGATGACTGGTGGTGGGGCTGGGTATGTGATGACTGGTGGTGGTGGGGGCTGGGTATGTGATGACTGGTGGTGGGGCTGGGTACGTGATGACTGGTGGTGGTGTATGTGTGCGTGTGTGTGTGTCTAATTACTCCACTAATTACTCACAACGTTTAGGGTATAAATTAAATTTATTTAGTGAATAAAGATAATTCCCAGGGTCGAGCTTCAGCTCTAGGAACAGCCTTTCCAACTGTGGGTCGTGTCTTGCCTCGCGTCCTCTACTAAATCCCCTTCTGATTTAAACACCGTTCAGTGACCCATCACTCAGACGCCCCGACTCCTCTCATTCCCGGAGCTCAGAGTCTGACAGTCTCCCGTGACACAAGATACATTGGTGTGTGTCCTCCACTGTGTCTGCCAGCTATATACACTGAGAGCTGTATCCTGCTTCCCTGTGTATATACACTGAGAGTTTACTTTAGGTCTGGACTATGGATATGCATAAAGTATACTTGACAGTTGGGTAGTAGACCAATTGTGGTAGCCTTAATAACTCTCAAAAGATTAATAGGCCTTAAGCAAGCATGTAAAATTGATTTTATAGAAAGGCGGGGTCCAAGAACCTTAGCAAGAATTTTAAAAATATCACTCTAGTGAAATCTTACCAAAAAACCCATTGTACCTTCTTGTAAATAAAATAATATTATTATTATTAAGCCTAATTTC